GGTTATGGGACTTTTCTAAGGCATCCCATCCTTAAATTTCAATTATTCCTTAAACAGCTCCTTAGGGTTTTGAGTTGTACTGCACTGATGTTCCTAAGAACACACTCAAAGAAAAGTCTTTTGTGCTTCTCTACATGTTCATGTCTGCCAAAACTTGTGCCCCTCCAGCAAAGGCATTCTCAGATCAGGTCCAAGATAGTTCTGCTATCCAGCAGGATATGCTGGAAAATGTAATGCATTTTTCTTTGCCAAGCAGAGACCACAACTTTAGTCAGATAGACTTTAAACATTGTGAAGAATGCCAGTACTTATTGTGAAGAAAGGGTTCCTGCATGTTCTTGCATGGTGCTTGATATGCAAACAGAAATTTAAAGAAAACCCTTGAAATAGTACTTGGAAGAGGAACTGAAAGACCGAATGAGTGACTTACATTTGCTAATTATACTGCTATCAGTTGGCACTTTGTTTTTACTAATAATTCTAACATGGCTCATATCAAGTCATGGGAAACCCTTTCTATTCACGGGAGAAGCTGTTTTGAGGATGGGAATGGGTACCCCATCTTTCATATAAATTCAATTGTTTTTGGATTTTTTTATGTAGCAAGTTTGCCAACATTATTTGCAATATAATGTCTATATTCCTTTTAGATGCCATCTTCTGACTGCTCTCCCATTGCTGTAGATTTGTCTGTCCTCTTCCACACTTCCTTTCCTTAGTCAGTTGCCTCTTCTGCTCCTTCACAAATAACTTCTCCCTTTACTCATAACTTTCCATATTCTAGTGGGCCACTGTTTCTTCTGCTCTTCCTTGGACCCTCCTATTCAACGTGGACTGTTGTTTCAATAGACCTTTGCCTGCTTCTTTTCCTTTTCCCTTTCCCTCCCTCCCTCCCTCCCTCCCTCTTTTTCTTTTTCTCCTTCCTTCCTTCTTCCTTCTTCTTTCCTTCCTTCTTTCTTTGAGCTTACCCTTCGTTCCATATCTCCTTTGAACTATTTTCTCATTCCCTTTTAAGTTTATCAATCACCAACTCCCCCAATTCCTCTGGAGATATCAATGACAGCTGCAGAATCACTTCTTTCTCTTCAGAACTGCTCTGAGTCAATCATTTAGAATGAGGATGAATAACACATGGCCCTCCAAGTGGTCTCTAGTGCTCTTTTCTGGAAGGAGCTCCTCTACTGCAGATACAAAAAAAAAATTCCCTCAAACAGCTCCTAAAAGGCATGGAATAAGTAGACACAAGGGCTACAATAACCAGCAAACATCAGCAAAACTGAAGAACCCATGCTTCTTTAGACCAATCTAGGTAATAATCCATTATATGGAAGTGTGAAATCAAAAACACTCCAAAATCCAGAATTATCCATACAGGTGGCTGTGGTAGTGACACATTCATTTTTTTATGGTTCAGTGTACATAAACTTTGCTTCACGCACAAAAATGTTACATAAAATTACCATCAGGATATGTGTATAAGGTTTATATGAAGCATAAATGAAATTTGTGTTTAGTCTTGGGTCTCACCTCCAAGATACATACAAATACAAGTATTCCAAAATTCAAAAAACTTTGAAACCCCAAATCCTTCTGGTTCCTAGTATTTCAGATAAGGGATACTCAACCTATAATGAAAAAACAAAATTAAGACAGTGTTCTGTAAACATCAGAATAAGATACCAATGAGTGTATGAGACTGCTTCTTGTTGTTTTGCTATAAGTTGCAAAACCCTTTGGATTTGCAGTTCATGTTTTGTTGCCCAATGTAAAAAATGTCCCCCAACCCCATGGATTCACTGCATCCCCTCGGTTGCCCTTTCCTGTCCTGGAGAATAATACTTTCGGTTAGATTTTCTATTCCTTTTCTTTAAACATTGTTCATTGTTTAAGTTGCCCTCCAAAGAAATATTTCAATCTGATAGTAAATTTTCCATATGTTCTTTAAATTAAACAGTACACTGACAAAAATATGAAAAAGTATCTTTTCTATTCCTTCCTATCTAATGATGATGAATTTAAGAGGAAGATGTACCTATTGTCACCTGTACAAATAATTTTGTAATAGTGACAATTGAAATTATGACAGTGTGTTACAGAAGATCATTGCCTAAAAATGTCTAAAAAATCTCTCTGGCCACATTCTGAGATAGAGTTAAGTGAGCTTACTCTTACAGAACTCAAAGCATGTTTAATGCAGTGATGGATGGTGCTTCTGGAGTCTGCATGAATGTTACAGCATTTTATACAGCAAGTTCACTTGAGCACTTCTAGACACTGATTGGTTCCATGACATTTTTACACTTGCTAATAAGAGGCATGTCTAGCCCTGTCTTCAATGGATAAGGGCAGAGGAGACTTACAGGGTAATTATGAGGCAGTGGTTGGAGGAGAGTATGACAAACTAGGCGTTACTTGGTAATTAGACTGCAAATCCCATTTAATTCCATGGTTATTCATGATGATTTCTGTTCTTTAAACCACAATCCTATTCATGTGGTAATTACTTTGGGATCCATTAAGTACAATTACAAAGTGATCCTTGGGAGCTAGTAATTTTTTCTAGTGTTCTAAGATGCTCACCAATTAAAATTCACCAGACTACCATGTACATGGAAAAAGTGATATGCCCATTAAGCCTGAAGCAAATTATACTGACCTATTCTAATGATGGGCGGCACATAATTTACACTGCATGTGGTTTCCTCTGTTTTGCAGCCTTAGATGGGACCCCATGAAAGAGGAATGCAGAGTATTTGGCCCTACAATGTTGCTGGACCACAGCTGCCACATGTATCCAGCATGACCACACTTAAAGGTTCAGAGACAGTTGGACAATATTTAGAGGACCACATTTTCCTATCCCCTGCTTTGGAAGTTGCAGAAAAGTTTGCAATGCTGTCCTTATTCACAGCCTTTTTAATATATAAGTACATTTTCCTCTGACAAAACAATTCCCAATAGGTTGCTGTGAGTTTTCTGGTCTGTGTGGCCATGTTCCAGAGGCATTTTCTCTTGACGTTTCACCCACATCTATGGTGGGCATCCTCAAAGGTTGTGAGGTCTGTTGGTAACTAGGTTAGTAAGGTTTATATAACTGTGGAATGTGGGTGGAACGTCAGGAGACTATGCTTTTGGAACATGGCTATACAACCCAGAAAACTCACAGCAACCCAGTGATTCTGGCCATGAATTCCTTCGACAACAAATTCCCAATAGATTGATGCCTTGGAAATTGTTCCACAGATCAGAGATTCTTGCTCAATGGGTATCTTTCGAATATGCTAGCGACCTGTTTTACCATTCTCACAGTTTTGGTCCAGCTTGATGTATCCAAACATATAGCCTGTGAAAAAAGAAAGGATTCTAGAAGTTTTTAACATAAGGGAAGCAAACATCAACACTCCAAAGAACACAGAATTATAGCCAAGATTCTGCAACATGTGTAGTTCCATTGCCTCTTCCCTGTACATACAACCTCCCTGTTTACTCCTGGGATACAGGAATGTCAAGGAGCAGCCAGTCAGCCAGTGAGAGAAAGGTGGATCATATGCAGCGCTGGATTTACCCTGTTGATAAGGGGCACCCATCTTCCTGCAATATATGTATATTTTTTGCTTGTATGGTGCAATCCTAAATTTGAAGATATTCTGTTTCAGAGTGATTCCAGATATAATGAAAAAAAAGCATACTTATTCATAAACAAATGCATGGTCAAATGGAGGAGGAAGAGGGAAGCAGAAAATGGCTACAATTACAGTGATGTAGGAAGAGAACTGATCTGGATGAAACCTAACAACCAGACAAACAGTTAACTGAGTATAGTCTCACAAAGGTTGCTAACTTGCAAGAAGTCCATACATTATAATCCTAACGAGTGGGATGGACGTGGATTTCAATCCCCTTCCATCTGTTTTGACATAATGCATTCAACTACTGAAAGCAAATGGAGCCATGTTTTGCAGGATGTGCCTGCTTGTTTCTGCCGTTAGCATTGTCTCACATTCCTATATACAGGCTTCCCTCTCCTTTTGATGCCTCACTATCTGATGACTCGCTCTTCAACACTTACAGAATTTTGATTAACTTGATTAAGGATCTGCTCTTGTATCAGTTCCTTTTTGCCTACAAAGCTCACTTCGGACTGCTTGCATGCATGTGCTTACCTACAGAAAGAGCAGAATCCTCCTTGAATCACTTTTGAATGTGCAAAAGTTCTTTTAACTTTACTAGACATTCAAAAGTACTATATATAGTGTGTTATTTACATTTTTCAGTAACCAAGCAAACATAATCTGGATTCCACTTTTCGACCAAGTCCACTCTCTGACAGTGCTCTGGCCCTTAATCCATCAGAGAAGTGAGGGTCATTATATTATTTATCCTGGCAACAGCTGTTACATAGCTTAAAGTTAGAGCATACTGCTTAACTATTCCAGTTGCTATTTCTTTATTGTACAGAGATAGGCAACTGTGCTTCTCCAAAGGTTCAACTTCTGATTCCAACCAGCATAGCTAATTGTGAGGAACTGTAGGAATTTTTTTTTTTTGAATTATAGGTCCAAATTGTGTGGAAGGGTCATAGTTATCCATCCCTGGATGGAAAAGCAATGCGTCCTATAAAGAAAAAATGGATTTTATTAAAAAGATGCTTAAGAGCTTCCTCTTCATTTTGTTTTTCTGTTGTAGATGTGTTTAAAAGGTTAATGGTAAGTGTAGAACTAGATTGTGGAATGTCAGATCATCCTGGAAAGAATATAAAAAAAGAGATGCTTAGGAATCCAAGACAAGAAGAATCACTGGTCTGCTGACGGGTCCTTGGCATCAGTCCTGATAAGTCTTCTAAAATGGAAATAATAATAGCATTCCTTTGAGACTCTGCTTCCACACATTGGTGACTAGATCTCTAGTGTTTAATAAGCAATTTTCCAGACCTTTGCAATGTGGCATACATAGCTTTCACAATGTTTCTAATGACAGCTTTGCCTTTCTTTCTCTCCCAGGGACTTGAACTATAATGAGCTGGTGGAATTTCCAATAGCCATTAGGACACTCGGACGACTTCAAGAGCTGTAAGGCATATTTCATGGACATTCTGTAGAAATAATGCTGAAACGGATGATCTGGTCCCAGCTTTAATGTGGAGAGGCATCACATTCCAGGCCTGAATGTGCATTCCTTTTTCACTCTTTCTCTCATAAATTCAGCTTGCTCCTCTCTAGCATGGCAACAAATACCTCACAGACATGATGTGGCTTCCCAAGAGATGGGTATACATTATGTTTAATAGTTTTCCCAACCTTTAGAGTATGTTCAGATGGTCTTAATTTAGGAATGGCATAGACTGTTTCATTGCCTCCAGTTCCTGCACATTCCAACCACCCATCCAGCAGTTCCTCGGCAGCTTGGTCTCCACCAAACATCAATGCTTTCAACAAACAAGGGCTGCACAGTTCATATTGTTGGCTTCCTATGAGTTCAAGAAATGTCTCCTGAACTTGCTTACATATATTCCAGTAATAACTCCTGTTTGGGATTTTGGGTCAGACAAATGCTGTTGTTCCATTTGGTTAAAATGCTGGCTTTGTTAAATGATAGAGGTCTCAGTCACATATAGAATCATGGAATTACAGAGTTGGAAGAGGCCTCGTGGGCCATGCAGTCCCACACCTTTGCACTCATATATTCTACAGCGTTGTTGTTAGGCTAAGATAAATTTTGGCTCCAAAGATAATTTGTGAATGATAAATAAAATACAAGGTTGTACTTTCTAGATGGTTATGCATTGCATAATAGACATGTGTCTGTATGGAGCAGGATGAGTGGTCACATGCCCAGTATACACACAGAGAAACAGAAGTCTGTGCATTTGCCATATGTGAAAATTTTGAAGTGGGGGTGTCATATTTCTATTTCTATTATTTATTTATTTATTTATTTATTTATTTGCTGGTGAAAGTTAAGCCAATGTTACTTGCATGTTCTATCTCTTAACCTTTCTGGTGTCTCCTTCTTTAACAGAGGCTTTCATAACAACAACATCAAGGCTATTCCAGAGAAAGCATTCGATGGAAATCCTTTACTCCAGATTATGTAAGAAATACTATATATACACAACTAGTATATACAATTCCATCCCTAATCCCGAAACTACGCTCTTCATAAGGGAAGGGGTCATAGAGTTGTGTAGAACTTAGTTACTGTCTATTTGTGCTGGATGAAGAGAATGAGTCTTTTTGTCAAGAGAAAAAGTAAGGATAATAATAATAATACACAATAGACCTACTTATAGTGTCCTACACTCCCTTTAATTCCTTCCCAGTGATCTCCTCTAATACTAATATGGTTTGGAATGGTCTAAGTTTACCTTCTTTTTAATAGGACTTTGACACGAGCTGAAATCCACTCACTTCCCAAGGGAATGTGCCAAGAGTTACCCAGCCTTCGTATTCTGTAAGTTATACATGCATCTTTCTCTCTTTTGTTAAAGATTGTGAGTGTCAGCAGGACAGCAATCATGGGTCTATGGGCATACATTATGGAGTTTGGGGTTGGGTTAGGGTTATACTTACCCCAGTATCAGGACATTTTGGGGTGTGTTTACTATGCAAAAGTGGGGGAGAAAAAAACAGGGGTAGACAGGAAAAATCATCCAAAATTGAAATCAAAGTTAGCTTATAGTAGAAGGTGAAGGAAAAGCCAAAGTACAAAATCATGGGCATCTACAAACTAACTAACTAAATACTTGAAATATTTGAAAGTGATAAAATGGCACTATACGTACTTACTAAAGATACAGAAATGTATTTTCCACCCGTCTTCATGTGACCAATAGTTATGTATATCAGTCCTAATGTTGCGAAACATAAAATGCAAATTACTTGTATCTTTGACTTTTTGATAAATGCAACGAAGACAGAAATGGGGGGTTTGAAAACAGGAAGGATTGAGTAATCCAAGAATAATATCATGAGCTGAACACAGAAATTAATGAAAGGACTTGTGCCAAGCATCAGGTGGATACAATGCAGATATTAACCTGGCTTTGCTTTTCTGCCTCTCCACCTGTATTGCCTGAGGTCACCCACTCCTTTCCTCTGTAGTAGATATTTTCCAAAAGGGTCTTCAAGAAAGCTTGCTTTGTTTGAATCTTTGTTGTTTTCTTCTGCAGTGAGCTCTCACACAATCAAATTGAGGAGCTGCCCAGTTTCCACTACTGCCAGAGGCTGGAAGAAATGTGAGTAACAGCAAGTTGTGGTGGCATTCCCAGTCTGTTATGCAATCAGTAGGAACTGACAAACAATGGAGAGGTTGATTATGGTGCACAGACACCTAACCAGGACTTTCCCAAGGGTTTAATGTGGCCAACAGTGAATTTTCTACTCGACAGTCTCATGCGCCATTCTGGAAGGTCTTCTGATGCAGCAGTTAGTATATAGGGGCAGAACTTGGGAGGTCCAGCTCATTGAGCCATGGAATTCATTGAGTGACCTTGTGTTATTCATATGCAACCTGCCTGACAATGTTTCTATGCAGCTGAAAGGGGTGTGGTGGGCCATGTACACTTCCATGAGCTCACTGGCAGAAAGGTAGGATCTAACTGCAATTAATAAGTAAGTAATGAATGCTGGGACTGAGTATATATATGGTGAAATCAAGTTAAAAAGACTGGCCAAAAAGACACAAGTGTTAAGGAGACATTGAATCTCTGTTTTCCCAGTATTTGCTTTCCCTTCCCCCTCACTCGGGCATTCCCATGGGTAGCAGCACCAGGTGGTGACATTAAGCCCTCCAGGCTCCATAGCAGGAGCAGATGCTGAGGAGGCCTGGGAACGGCTGGTATAAAGAAACCTTGATACTTGTAAACCCCATAACAAGCAAGCTTTTGATTTGAATGGGGCACTGTCCCAGGCCTGAGGCTGCATCTGGGGAAAGGGGTGGGTGGGTTGTTTTGTTTCTTGATCCACTTTCCTCTTGAAATTTGAACTCCTTTGCAACTTTAATGGAAGTAACCTTAATGGCAGGAGTGCTTTCTTCTGTTGCCAGTGAAGATGGAGAACTCTATGAAGCAAGTTTCCCTCTCTCATTGCAGCCTCTCTGTCTTTGCAGTGGCCTTCAGCACAACTGCATCCATGAAATTGGAGCAGACACCTTTGGGCAGCTCACAGCCTTGCGCTCCATGTAAGTACTGCTTGCGGTGAATTCTTGTAATGAAAAAGGATCAGGAGACTATGAGCAATATAATGTAGGCTGCTCTAAGCATGGTTACAGGCCCAGCCATACAAAGATCCCTTCAGAGCAAATAGACCGTACTAGTACATGGAACACATAACAGCCTCTTCTTATTATGATGTCTCCTCCTCTCTCCACCAGCCCAAAACGAGAAGAAAATGGAGTATGGAGTTCAACATGTCGGGCACAGGTCCAGGCCCGCAAAAGTACCAGATGCAAATAAAATATGATATGGACACATACTTTATAGATCTATAGTACCCATATTATATACCTCACACAGAGGGAAAAGGAAAGCTTGTGACCTTCCTCAGAGTTAGAAATATATCAGGAACAGACACTGATTTGCACTGCAGAATATTTCAGCCTTTGAGACTGAAAGGCAAATCATCAATATTCGAATAAGCAATCAAAGGAATAAAGGTTCCCCACTCAACTGCATTTCCTCAAAGGCCAGTCTTCCAAACCTCGGAGCTTAATGACCTGCACTTCCTACGTAGCCTTCTTCCCCTGCAGGTTAAATAATATATTTTCCACAATAATAGTCCTTCTTACCACCCTCTATGGCTTGTTCATTAGTTATTTATTAAAAAAAAAGGAGGAATGGTCATTGTAAAACTGGTCAATTAGTATTTCTAAAGCTCACATCTTTGAGGTTTTATGAAAACAGTATTTATACTTTGCCATATTAACTATATAAACAACCTCTTCCTCTTTCTTTCTTTCTTGTTTGCTTACTTGATTTGTATCTCACTTTCTTCCCACATCTGGGCAATTCAGAACATGATGAAAACAGATCCAACTTTAAAAGCATCTAGTTTCACAATATTAAAATATAGTGAAAGATTTTTTTATATTAGAGTTAAATTTTAAAGTACAACTTAAAATCACACGAGTAATAGAAACTAGGGGGAGGGGGTTCTGTTGCAAACCTGTATGTTTCACAACAGACCACAACCATTCCATGTAGCAGCTTTATAATACACAAATTAAATATATACACATTAAATTAAAAATAAAATGCACACAGAATTTGAGATGCAAGCAGCTTTGTTGTTGAGAATAGGTTTGCAGATACCAGTGAGCATCACAGGAATGCCTGAGATTATAGCAGTCTAGTTTGTTGTTTATTCGTTCAGTCACTTCCGACTCTGTGATCTCAGATCCAGCCCACACCAGATCTCCCTGTTGGCCATCACCTTCCCCAGCTTCTTCAGGGTCAAGCCGGTCACTTCAAGGATACCATCCATCCATCTTGCCCTTGGTCAGCCCCTCTTCCTTTTTCCTTCCATTTGCCCCAGCATAATTGTCTTCTCTAAGCTTTCCTGTCTTCTCATGATGTAGCCAAAGTACTTCATCTTCGCCTCTAATATCCTTCCCTCCAATGAGCAGTTGGGCTTTATTTCCTGAAGTATGGACTGGTTGGATCTTCTCGCAGTCCAAGGTACTCTCAGAACTTTCCTCTATCACCACAGTTCAAAAGCATCTATCTTCCTTCACTCAGCTTTCCCTATGGTCCAGCTCTCACATCCTTGGGTTACTATGGGGAATACCATTGCTTTAACTATGTGGATCTTGGTTGCCAGTGTGATGTCTCTACTCTTCACTATTTTGTCGAGATTGGTCATTGCTCTCCTCCAAAGAAGTAAGCATCTTCTGATTTCCTGGCTGCAGTCTGCGTCTTCAGTAATCTTTGCACCTAGAAATACAAAGTCTGTCACCGCCTCCACGTTTTCTCCCTCTATTTGCCAGTTATCAATCAGTCTTGTTGCCATAATCTTGGGTTTTTTTATGTTTAACCCAGCTTTTGCGCTTTCTTCTTTCACCTTGATTAGAAGGCTCCTCAGCTCCTTCTTGCTTTCGGCCATCAGAGTGGTATCATCTGTATATCTTGTTAATGTTTCTTCCAGCAATTTTAACCCCAGCAGTCTAGTGAATATGGACAAAAGTGTAAAAGACCCTAATTGTGTGTTAGGTTTTGCCCTGTAAATACTGCTTGCAGAAAACATCTACCAGGCATCAGGATGAATTTAAAAAAGGAATAGAAGCAATCCAGATATATTCATGGGTTAACAATGTACTCAGAAAAACAAAGGTGTTTGCCATTTATCATAAGAAAATTCTTCCTATATTTTGAAAGCTTCTGAGAATAAGGAAAAAACACTATTTGTAACATTATCACTTATATTCCTTAGCATGCTTTTTTCATCGTTATTGATACTCTTCCCTTTGCAGCGATCTGAGTTGGAACTGCATCCAGCACATCCATTTTGAAGCTTTTGTGACCCTACATGCTCTTATCAAACTGTAAGTTGGACCAATGATGCATAATAGTATACTTCATTATCTGAGATCCCTATTTTGGCATGTCATGGGACATAATGCTAGTGTGTAGAACTCCATTGTACAGCAGTTATGCAGTTATGCATGTTGGTCCCCCAATGGCCCAATGGGTTAAACCCTTGTGCTGGCAGGACTGCTGACCAGTAGTTCAGCAGTTTGAATCTGGGGGAGAGCAGGTTGAGCTCCCTCTGTCAGCTCCAGCTCCCCATGTGGGGACATGAGAGAGGCCTCCCACAAGAATGGTAAAGCATCAAACATCTGGGTGTCCTCTGGATGACATCCTTGCAGACAACCAATTCTCTCACATTAGAAGTGACTTGCAATTTATCAAGTCATTCCTGAGACAGAAAAAAACCCCATAGTAATAGTCAAACCATTTGTTTTAGATGAACTGCAGAGATAAGGTGGGCTGTACTAGCATATTCAACTGCTCTATATGTGAGATTACCCTCTATCTGTTATATCCTCACAACTATCAGTGGCTGAGAAAGGGTAACTGGCCTGTGATCAATAAGCTTCAAACTAATAAGCTTCAAAGCTAAGCAGAGATTTTTGAATCTATGTCTCCTTGTTCTTATAGTGGAACACACCTTCTTACAGAAGGAAGTCATTTGTAATCAATTAGCTCCCTAGTCTAAGCTTTTCCTGGGGATAGTAATCGTTGCAACTAGATATTTTCATTTGTTTTAACATTATCTAAACAGCTCATCCAAGGTATTCTCAGAGAACCTTATGAAAATAAAATATAATTAAAATTGTACTTAAGTCCTGTTTAAAACACTAAATGCAGAACCCTAAATTGTCCAGAATAAAGTCTTGTAACAAATTCAGTTCATGGTATCCTCACAGCTTCCCGCAGTCAAGTTTTCCATTTTTATGCCCATAGAGATTTGACTGACAATCAGTTGGTGACACTGCCGTTGGCTGGTTTGAGTGGACTGACACACCTCAAGCTCAAAGGCAACCCTGCATTGTTGGAACCCTTCAGCAAAGAAAGCCTTCCCAAGATAAGGTGAGCATTGTTTCAGATTTCTAGCTCCACAAAGTGCTCTCTGTGTCTCTCTGGCTGGACTTTTATTTATTTGCTTTAATCTGCCTTCTGCTGTCTGTTTACCAAACAATTCCATGTAATTCTGTTAAGCCAGAGGTTGAGCAAGCGTGTCTTCCTGCTCCCACCTTGAATCCATTACTGCCTTGAGAAATTGATGAGCCACTGAATGTCTTGTCGCCGGCATCCTCCAAACTCACACACAAGGCAGAGGCCCTGAAAGCAGGGGACTCACGCCTGAGGCTCAGCAGAGCGGAAAACCTTTGCAAAAGCCAACCTCAGCTAATGACATCCAGCCTTCCTACAGTAAATGCTGTTTGTGTGGCCATGTCTTGTCTGCTGTGGATTAATGAGCTGCTGGGAGCGTTGAGAGTAAACAGCTAAGACAATATACCATAAGGCCCAGAACATAGTGGTAGAAGCACCAGCAATGTCTAGCATTTATGTAAGTGAAGAGTCCTTAGACACCACCACACTATCCAATTCAGTATTTTTGCTCAGCTATTGATTGTTCCAGGGATTCTGGGTGCTCAGCCTAGTAAGGCAATATTGGTATTTTGTTTCCATCCAATGCTGGCTGCTCATTAAACCGAACCATGGAAATGTGGGCTTTACTTCTTACTCACAAATATATACTGTGCTTAGGAAGATTGAACAGCTATGCGGAACAGGGAGTGTGAGCATTTTCAATTTTCCTGAAGGCTATATGAAAAGCTCCATGTGCAAAAAGGAAAATCTGTCCAACTATTAAACTTAGTATTTTGCATTTCTCCAGCCTTCCACATCCCCTTGTTGCTTCTCAGTTTCAATACGAAGGCTACCTTTTGTTGCAATATGAATTTCTGCATGCATATGTGTTGAAAGAGAGTCAGATAACTGGTAGCCATTTATTCTCCTTTGCAGGGTCCTGGAGGTGCCCTATGCCTACCAGTGCTGTGCCTATGGAGCATGTGGCAACTTCTTCAAAGGCTCCAGTCAGTGGGATTTGGAAGATATGAGTCCTGAGGATGAGGATGGCTCCAAGAGAACCTTGGGACTATTTCCAGGCCATGCTGATAGTCACTGTAAGATCAGTTTTGCGTCTTGGCCACTTCTGAATTTGTTAAAGGATAAATTATTATTATTATTATTATTATTATTATTATTTTACTGACACAAAAACACAGTATGACACAGCAAACAAGATATATATGCTGCATTTCGTATCACAAAATCACAAGTCGAACACTTCCCAAGCGTCTAGGACTGTGTGATATATTTTTGAATGATGTACACAGATCCAAGTAAGGTGGCCTTTTGCAGTTGACAGATTGTGATTTTGTCAATGTTTATTGTTTCCAAATGCCAGCTGAGATCTTTTGGAATGGCTCCCAGTGGTAATAGACATAAACCTGTACTGGTTATGTCAGAGCCTATAATAATAATAATAAATTATTAATATTATTATTATTACCCTGCTTTATCTCCCCTGAAGGGGATTAAATATAATTCTATTCTATTTGTCATCGATCCACTCCTCTGGGCTTCATGCAAATCTCCCATTTGTCAAAATATATGATTCTGTGTTTTTCTTTTCCATTTCTGGCAGAATAGCTTGACCGTTGGTTTGTTTCATCAAGTACAAGGTCTGCCCAAGTGCTGCCTGTGGTCTCTTGGCATCCAGTTTGTTAGTCTTCATGTCCATGGTTTTCTTTTGTTCATGCTATATGCCCTGCCCATCTTCTTTTCGCCTCATAAATCTCATTGACCATGTCGCGTACCCTGGTGCTTTGATGCAGCTCTTTCTTGCTGACCTTATCTCTTATTATCATGCCACACAACCTGCTTTCAATCGCTCTCTGAGTCACTGCCAGCTTTTCCTCCTCTAACTTTGTTGTTGCCCATGTTTCAGATGCTTATAACATTGCAGGTAGAACTATAGTGTTGAAGATATATCCTCTGACCTTCATTGGCAGCTTAGCATGTTAGAACTGTCCGGTTTCTATTAAAAGGCGGCTTGGGTGAATTTTAATAGAAACCGGACAGTTCTAACATGCTAAGCTGCCAATGAAGGTCAGAGGAGATATCTTCAACACTATAGAAGTGTCCGGTTTCTATTAAAATTCACCCAAGCCGCCTTTTGTCATCTTGTCCATTCTCCAATTGCCATTTTTTTAAACTGTACTTGTTGTCCAAGATATACATGTTCTGTCACTTCCTCAATTTCATCTCTATTTATAACACTGCAGCCCTGGTCATGAGACTAATTTTTCATCCATTTTGTTTTCTTCATCCTACTGATTTTAAGAGTCGAGCTAGTTGGAGATCATGTTGTAACTCTTCTGGATTTTTGGCGAAAAGGACACAATTGTCTGCAAAGTGGAGATGAAAAAGTTGTTCGCCATCAACTGAAATCCCGCCTTTAAATTAAATTCCAACTGAAATCCCTTTTTGGAAGAGGCTAAAGTTGCCACAAACAGTTTTGCCAATATTGTGTCTCCCTGGAGCACTCCTATGTTTATTCTGATGTGACACATTTCTGACACTTCTGTGAGAGCTGTTCAGCAGTGGAACTCTCTGCCCCAGAGTGTGGTGGAGGCTCCTTCTTTGGAGGCTTTTTAAACAGAGGCTGGATGGCCATCTGTTGGGGGTCCTTTGAATGTGATTTTCCTGCTTCTTGGCAGGGGGTTGGACTGGATGGCCCACGAGGCCTCTTCCAACTAAATGATTCTATGACAACAGTTTTATATCCATTGGTGCACCCTGTATTGATGCTTTTTTGATGTTCACATTCGCTGAATTTACACCAGCTTGGTGCAGAGCATTAAGGACAGCAGTGCTCTCAATGGAGTCAAAGGCCTTTTGGTAATCAATGAAAGCAAGACAAACCAGAACTCTATATTCTTTTTTCCCAGTAGCTGTTTGAGTGCATGGATATGAGGGTGGAGAAGCCGTGTCTGAAGCCCACTTGTTCCCTATTGATTTCCATATCTTGAGGTATTTCTTGTAGCAGGATCCTTGTGAACAATTTATATAGTTGAAAGAGGAGTGTAATAGGGTGACAGTTGCTAAATTTTTCTGTTTCTCCTTGTCTAATCTTTAAGTAAGATAACACTTTGCAAGTATTGCGTAAAACGTTCTGCGATTGCCATTTGAAAGTTATAATTTCCCACCTTTAGGTGTTCTGTTCTTATCCTATCCTTTCCTGAGCATTTATCTGGCATCATTTTACTTATGGCCTCATATACCTCACTTAATAATACTGTTAGGGATTTTTTTGGTTACAAAATGTGGTTTAACTACCTGCATTTTGTTGTTACAGAAGTCTTAACATATCTGTCTCATTTCCAATCTATTTGTAAAGTGTATTGTTTTCATTTTTTTAGTGCAATTGGTAATTTTTTCTTCATTTGAAACTGCTTTTCCTTTTTAAAAAGACTTTTATTGTTCTCTGTAGCCTCTCTTCGTCGCAAAATCTTATATTCATCATAGTCCACCTGTAGCCTCTTTCGAATTTCGTTACAAAGTTGTTTGTACTCCTCCCCTTTTGCTGTGTCATCTGCTATTTGTTGAGCTCTGATTGCCATTGTTTTATCCCTTGTCAAATTCTTCTAATCTTCACTGGACTGGAGGAATAGATTCACTTGAAATATCAATCTTTTTTTTAACTTTCCCACAAACATTTCATAATCTTCATTGACATTAAATATATAAAGTATTAAAAATTTCCCAAATAAAAACCATTAAAACAAATTCACTTAGAAGCCACAGCACCCCCTGAATTGATCTTAAAAACCTTTATCTTTAAAAGCCTGCCTGAATACGAAGATTTTAGCCTGCCACCGGAAGGATAGCAGGGAGGGGGCCATTCTGGTTTCTCTGGACAGGGAGTTCCGGAGTTGAGGGGCAGCCACTGAAAAGGCCCGCTCTCACGTTCCCAACTTAAGTGCAGTCACCCACATTGTGCATTTTATTATTATTCTATTCATTGCAAATAGTCTGAACCATTGACTACATCTGGTACACTGCAAGGAACTGAAAAGGAAGGCTGAGTTTATATTGGGAAAGATTCTGCATAGTGGAGATCAAAGTAGAACAACTTAATCTATTCCTGCTCCCAGGCGTAAACTTTTCAGTGGTGGTGGGGGGGGGGGGTGTTACTGTGCAACTGGAAGTCACATGTGAAAAACATTGGTAGAGCTGATTCCCAAGCCACAGCTTGGATTGTTTGTTTGCTGCATGACATGCCTGTATAAACACATGGCCCACACACAGTCAAGATCAAGATACTAAAGTTGAAATGAAAAATACATTTGACACAGAATAATGAAGGTAGGATTGTTATCCTTCAGAGACAATTTTCTGACCTATGTTATAATGCCCTGGCATGTGAAGCCATAGTCTCTTAGAAGAGGAATGATACCTTCCTGCATTTTATAAGGCATGTCTCTAAGCTGTACAATCTGCAGTCAAGAGTTGCAATGTAGTTGATGCTTTCTAGTATTAAATTGGCTCTTTATTTAATCATGAGCTTTTTGTTCCTTAAAAGGTAAAACAAACAAACAAAACCTTTGCATTTTGGGAGGGGTGCATTATGGGGTTAAATGATTTTTACATGTGAGAATCCTGATTCCTCTAATTCCTTATAATTTTATTTTTTTTCTTTAGAATTTTCTTTGCCATTGATGGTAGATTTTCCAATGGGCAATATCCTAGAGCTTCTTCCAAGCTCATGCTGTCTTCACTTTGAAATAAACAGCTCTTATAGCGAGCTATCTTGTAAGGTGTTTATTATTTGGGACATTCTGGCATAGGTGCCAATATCTATTCTTCTAGCAAAGATGAGACACGCTGACATCGTTTCTGCTCTGCTGCATGAGAGTTGGCAATGTTGTCCTCTTTCATAGTCCAACTGCATCAGTATGTATGAAATGGCAGGTTGGTTTGTTACCCACAATCTGTCTTCTTTGGTGGGCAGGCATCCTCTTGCCCATGATGGCATGCATTCATTTGCTCACATTTCTTCCTGGAAAAGCTTTGCATCAGTCAAAGTCAGAGAACAGAGAGGATTCATGTAGCCTGAGGGAACAGGTTCAACATAGCTTTTATGCTGTGCCATTGGGCCTTGCCCTGCATCCAGCAGTACACAAAATCGGCTTATTTTTTTCACTTGCAAGTTCAATGGAAGCTCTGTGTAGTTACCTTTGTACAACCAGGCTGTTTTGATGGCAGGATGTTTGTGGGAAAAGAATATGCACCTTTTTGCTAAGACAGCCCAAATCATGTTCTCGACACCTCCAGTAAAATAAACAGCCAAGACTCAACTGTCTAGACTACTGGGCAAGAAGTAATTCTCTTCCAGATGCCAACATGTTCCACGCCTAGGTTGGAGCTACCTGGGCTCCCTGCAGTGGGAAGGGATTAGTGATGGGCAATATTGCTCACAGGCATTCATCATTTTTATTTTTTACACAAAAATTCCTTGGGAAAATATTCAGTATGAATTCTGTACTGTATGAAAGCTCTGTTTAAGGTGAAAAGCAACTACTGTCGAGAGGAATCCTTAATTGTAGTGTTGTCAAAATTTTGCTTAACAAAGGCTCTGTATCTCACTAAGCAGTACATCTCTAGGGCCATCTTTCCCTTTGCTTCATTCTGTGGGGAGAAATTCCATAGATGTGGCGTTTCTTATCCGTGCGTTGTAAGGAGCTTCAGTCAGAGGGGGCACTGGAACCTAAACATCAAGGTGTTTTTCCAGCTCTCTTCCCAATAGGATTGAGGCTCCTCTTTTGAGTTTCTGGCAGGTAGCCAAAAGGTGATCTTTCATCTGCCTTTTGGTTCCTGACATTTGTTCTGGCCATTTAAAATGCTTTAGAATAATTTTAAGAAGTGTTTCTGGTCTGATTTGAAATGTTTCTCATTTGTTTTTAATGTTTGTTATCCATTGGCAATCCTGTGAGGCTGAAAGGATACATAAATGCTTTAAGCAAACAAGCAAATACGCCCACCTCCGATGTGTTACTAACAAGCTGATTTGTGTCATAAACATATAAAGCATTGGACAGAAGCATTGAAACAATTGGTTCATATCAATTTGCAACAATATAGCTATGTTCCCTCTGAAAGTATAAACTCACAGATTTAATCTGTGGAAAATATCCACGAATGTTTTCCAGATATTTTATGGATTTCAAAATTATAACAGATGCCTCCCGCAAAATGAGAAGAATGGGTTTGGGTTTTGTTGGAGACTGACACTGTAAGAGAACTTTAGAATGATTTTTTGTAGCATAACTACAAATCAAGTGAGTTGTGCCAGTGGTGAATGTTGTACAAGGTAGCTTTCCCATGCCACTCATTCCTTTGTGGATATTAAGACTTCTGATTTGAAAGTTTTATTTCTGGGGCTTCTTGCTCTAATCTCAAGATACAGAAATGTAAAAAGCATTGCAAAGATTTGTTGTTCACAATTTCAACAGCTGTGACTTTAAGAAAATAAGAGACTAATCACAATACAAAGATGAGCATTAACATAACTGTGATGTCTTTCTTTCTGTTTTGTTATTTAGATGACTTGGATGTAGATGACTTCCAGTTAGAACTTGATGATTCAAAGCTATACCCTAACATCCAGTGTACTCCCAGCCCTGGTAAGAAAGATTTTTAAAATACAGATATCATTGGGGAAAACTTTTAATTCATTAGGAGTAATGACTATAATATATATATGGTCATAAAAAATATGGAAGTCAAAAACTACCCGGAAAATACTAGTTCTGTGATGCTCGATGTTGAATACCTTTGAGATATTGGTGAATGTTTAGAGCAGTGCAGGATTTTAGAAGGCAGGCTTGTGTGTGTCCCATTTAGTATTCTGAACTTCCTCAAACATAGACTCAAATAAACCCCATCTTTTGAACGCTAATTCCGAAGCTCCTTGTTGAACCTCTTGAACTGTAAGTCTAAGATAGCTGCATCATTATTATGCTTACTTGTGCAGTAAGCCACCTTACTTTTAGGCATGTATCCATAGGTTAATTCAGGCTCTGCTTAAGAATTCGGTAAATTTAAATATAAAATGAGGCAAAAGTTCATGATTAATTTTTGATTTGAAGCTTTGCAAGGTATGGTATCACCTGCTTTGTTGCAGCATCTTTATTATCCAATTTTGTAATATTGCTGCTTCCTTCCTTTTTAGGTCCTTTCAAGCCATGTGATCACCTGTTTGAGAGCTGGGTCATCCGCCTGGGCGTCTGGCTAATCACATTGGTCTCCATGCTGTGCAATGGGCTGGTCATGGTGGTTGTCTTTGCTTCACCTGGCTATCTCTCTCCTATCAAGTTTGTTATCGGCACCATTGCCGGTTCTAACATACTGACAGGCCTGTATTGTGCTATTCTGGCCTTTGTGGATGCATTCACCTTTGGTCATTTTGCAAAATATGGAGCCAGGTGGGAGACAGGTATAGGGTGCCAGGTGACTGGATTCTTGTCAGTCTTTGCATCAGAGGCTTCCATTCTCCTCCTAACATTGGCCACTGTGCAATGCAGTCTCTCAGTGTCATGCATGCAGACATATGGGAAAGTACCATCCTTTGGCAGTGTCAAAGCAGGTGCCCTAAGTTGTCTGGCACTTTCTATGGTTGCAGCAGTGCTGCCTTTCTTCTCTGTTGGGGAATACGGGGCATCTCCACTCTGCCTACCTTACCCACTCCCTGATGGGAAGCCTTCCATGTTGGGTTTTATGGTGACTTTGGTGCTGATAAACACCCTCTGCTTCCTCATTATCACTGGGACATACATTCGCCTCTATTGCAACCTATTGAAAGGCGAATTTGATTCTGTATGGGATTGTGCTATGATCAAGCATGTTGCTTGGCTCATTTTCACCAACTGTCTTCTCTACTGTCCCGTGGCCTTCCTGACATTCTCTTCTATGCTCAGCCTCTTCCTCATCACACCTGAAGTAATCAAGTCTGTGTTGTTGGTGGTGCTCCCTCTGCCCGCCTGCCTAAACCCCTTGCTCTACCTGCTCTTTAACCCCCATTTCAGAGATGACCTGCGGTTACTGAAGCAAAAGGGGAAGGCTCAGGAGAGCTGTGCTCAGTCCTATGTGTCTGAGGACACAGAGAAGAGCACATATGACTCTACTCAGGCCCTTGTTGCTTTCTCTGACATGGATCATATCTTTGAGGGATCAGACATCTTCAAAGTACCTTCAAGTTGCTCATCAGTCTTAGATGCCTACAACTTCCCTTCAGTGACTCTCATCCCTTGCCAACAAAAGGCACGTGTGAAAGGATATGACAATGGCTTCTCTACCCACCTGTCCTACCTTGCTGAAGATGAGCTGCTAATTGCATCAGAAAGCAGGGACACAACAGCAAGGAGTAACCTTCGGATTGCTTTGTTCCCCACATCATCTACACCAGCCTTCACTTCTCACTTATAAACTATCTTTCAGCTTTCCGGACACAATGTACATTCCTTCAGTGAAAAACCTATGCAAAGATACCATGCTGTAGCCACCATGAGCTCTTCTGGGGGAAAGGGCAACCCAGTTTATTGCTTCTTCTGGAAAGAAGGCTTGATTGAATGCAAGGTGCGGTTTGCTCCATGTATTGCTTTGCTGGAGCATTATCTCCTCCTATCCTGAAGCACTGCACTGCAGAGTATTTCTCAGTACAGGAAAAACTAGGGAAGAGTTCAAATCCTCAAAGTATGTTAACAAGAAGACAGGCTATTACATAGCAAAGCAAGCCAGTTGCAAAACCGGAAGCTACTGCACTACCTAACCAATCGTGTCTTGGTTTCCTGAGATATTTCTGACCCCTGATAAATTGTATGAGACCAACTGCTAATTGTAATGAAGTGTTGAACTGAAGAATCATATCCTAAGACAGCGAAAGAGTAGGTATAATTCTGGATGATGTTATGACTGATATAACGTAATGTAATGAGATACACAATCACTTCTGCTTTTACAAAATATCTGAAAACTTTTACAAAAGAGGAGTGGCCTTCAATTTGGAAAACTGCAGTTTTCATAGAGCCTAGATTTTTCAAAGAATGTCTGCAGATGTCTAAAATAACCCCCAAGAAATTAATGCATTCCAAAACGTCTTTTATTAAAGCATTGCTGCCTGTGAGTCAAAGTGTAGTGGATAATCCAAAATTAGAAGAGTTTTGCAGCCCACCCCTCTAAGAACCAGACCACGAGCTTAGCTCACTGCTTAGGATAGATTGCATTTTTTTGGCTGTAGTTCCACCAGAGCCCATGAGTATAAAGTGAGCGGAAAAACAATTTAAGGAAGTCAGTTCTAAGCTAAGGACCTTCACCCAGACTATTGAAGAACAAACAGTATAGAAATACTTCTTATGCCTTGTAGCATTCTCAATTTTTAAACCTGCCAGTGCTACAAAGAAGAAAGCTACTAAACATAGCCATGTACTCAAGAAAAGGCAAGACACAGAATTAGTACTCATAGGACAGATTCCCACCATGAAATATCCTTAGCCAGTGCTGTAAATCTAACACAGTACAACTACACATAAAGCCAACTGTTACATATACTGTGTTCCAATTGCACAGTGATAGAAATAATGTAAGCATCAGTATTGACATAGTTCAAGTCTGAAAACAAAAACAGTATATTTTGGCTTATGAAATTAAGCTTTTAACCATCAACTTTTCAACTTTTTTTGCAAATTAAGGGTACAAATTACAAAGGGGAATTTACGCCTTTTGCCTTCCCGTCTAAAGGAAATTTCTGTTTTATGGCTACCCTAAGGCTAAATCATCATGAGGTTTTCTTGGCAGGGTTTGTACAGACATTGTCTTCCCGTGAGGCTGAGAGTGATTGCTCAAGGTCACTCAACAGATTTCCATGACAGAGTGGGAGTTTGTATCCTGAACTCCTAGAATACTAGTCTAACATGTAAACTACTGTACCACGATGGTTTACAATGACATAGGGCAAATCAGGAGGCTGGGTCTCACTGTTAACGTCATTGTGAGGTTAAGGCATACAAGCAAATTTATCTTATAATTTTGATGGGATTCATTTCCAAAATGAACTAATTGGAGAAAATACCGTACACTTTTAAGAGCAGGTTAATAAAAAACCTCCAAATTATTTTTACATTCTGTTTATTTATTTATTTACAGTATTTATATTCCACCCTTCTCACCCCACAGGGGATTCAGGGCGGATTACAATGTACATATACATGGCAAACATTCAATGCCATAGACACACAACATATATAGACAGACACTCAGAGGCTATTTAACTTTCCAGCTTCTGGCCACCAGGGGAGCTGTTGCTTCCTCATTCTTTGCATACTCCCTGGAGATTTTTTATGGCCTCGTAAATCTGTTCTTTGCTGATGTCTAGCTATCAGCATTAGTAACTTGTCCAGTGTTGTATGAGGACATTCTTATCAATGGAGTCACCACCACCACCACCACCACCACATTTTAATCCCTTAAGAGGTTTTAGCTCTTATTAGAATTGGGAGAGAAACCTTAAGACTGAAATGCTGCAAAAACAGTTCAGATGCATTTTGCGGCTATCCCATAAGATTAATTTGGCATGTCTGGTAATTCTGGTTACTGTGGAGTTCTGGTTAGACAGAACATCAGATCTCTTAATCCCCAGTTGCTACCTAGGCTTATGGCTTCATACAGACACAGTAAAAACTGTCTTATATGTAATAGGATGACTCATTATGCCTTCCCCAAAAGAAGAAAGGTACAGCTAGCATAATAGGAAGCACTGGGATTCCAGAGGGTCTCACATTAAGTTATAAATTAGGAAATAATTGAATTGCTGACATAAGCTATTAATCAGTGCAGCTGCCAGCCACATTTCCAGGTAGTAATTAGCCCAGTGAAAAACTTTCTTCCTTCAATAATGAAGCAGGCAAAGAACAGCTTGTGTACCAAATTCAGAAATCAAATCCAACAGGATTGCTATGTTTGAACATTAAATGCCTTACACAGCTGCCCTTTACTGCCCCAATAAATTTACCAGAAAGGATAAAGATCAAAGCAAGCTACCTGCTCATCCAGAACCATATAACATGCTTACTCAGAAGAATGTCACACTGAATGCAGTGAGATTTATTCCCAAGTACACTAATTGTATTTAATATTGTTGCCTTAGGGATTTGGTTTGCCAAGTGCTGAGCATGCTACCATACACAAAATAGTAAATAATACCACTGGCTATGTGGACTTCATCTTACCTGATATTCCTAACCTATATGAAGCCTGATTGATTATTTGAAGGTCAGGAGGGGCAAGGGACTATTCTAGAAAATGTGGAGACAATTTCGCTTTTCCTGTGGGTGAGAGGGGGTATTAAGGGCCGTTTCAGATCCGGCACAGTTCCTATCATGAAAATTAACCAACCATTTAGAAACCAACTTTGGAACAGAAGAGCATGCTAACAGAAACAGCTTGCATCAAATCCGGGTGAGAGAAAATAAAATTATTTTATTTTAGAAATTTGCTTCAAATGTTTACATTTTGGAAATTATGAAATAAAGTTTATAAAGCTATTTCAACATTCTACTAGATAGTTGCCTGAAACAAGTTATGGCCTTTCATAACTGTTGCATGGTCCTTACAGATATTACAACAGGGAAGCTTCCAGGACCCTAAAGCAGTGGTTCTCAACCTGTGGATCCCCAGGTGTTTTGGCCTACAACTCCCAGAAATCCCAGCCAGTTTACCAGCTGTTTGGATTTCTGGGAGCTGAAGGCCAAAACATCTGATTGAGAACTACAGATTGAGAACCACTGCCTCAAAGCTTTGTAAATATCAAGCATTCTTCAGTCACCACCCATTATTAGTCTCTAAACATGGTTTTAAGCAAGAGTGGAGGAGGTTTAGCCCTCAGCTGGCTAGACACTGGTGGTAGGTGTCTATTTCGCCATGTTCTTTGGTGTATTATGGGAGCTTATTTCAAACAGGAAGCTGACATCTGAAAAAATGACTATCCTGGGCCTAGATTGTACAGTCATAGAAAAAATATGGCAAAACTGTTACCATGTGCCCCAAAAGGAAAGATGTATCGATATATGAGGAACTGAATAGGAAGGCAGGAAGGAGACACAGAGGAAAGACAGAGCGTTAAGGGGGCAGATACTAAGAGACTGAGCTGGAGGAAGAGTGGGGTTTTCTTATATAACTTCTGCTTGACTTACCAAAAACTAGAGCTACAGGAAACATGGTGTTGTTATATTTGTCATTGTTAGATTGAGTCAGGTCATCCAATACAAATCCTGAATTCCTACAATTCTTACCATTGATCATACTGTGTCCATTGCCATATCAAGATCCCGTCCTATGTTGAAGCTAAGAAAAATATCTGATATACCTTTACACACCATGTATATGTTATTGTCTGTATATACATGTCATATATGCAATATCCAGCATGCGTGTGTTTGTATATTATGTGTATATTTATACAGAGAGAGAGATATAGCCACTTTCCCTCTCTTATTGGTTCTTGTTTTTATTTTATTTTTTTGTATATTGCTTTGTAAATCGTTCCCTATAGAAGACTATAGAAAATTAAAAACTGTAATTTTTAAACAACTAATTTGTACTGTTCTAGTGACTGAAGTCAGGATGCCACAAGATTGCAGGCTGGACATTATTATTTGATAATTACATCAGATATGTTGTTAGTGTATCAACACACTCTTCTAGATGTAACATCATAACTAGAGCATCCACATTACCTCAAGCAAAGGGCTTCCCAATTTATAAGTTCATACATTCAGCTGCTAGACATCAAAGCTGGAGTGCAAAGCTGTCAAGTGATGACTTGTATGTGTGAACCAGGTCTCTGTGCAAGCTAAGAAGAATCAGAAAAATTGAGTATCTCAGCAACTGGGATATACAAAAGAGATTATAAAAAGAGGGTGGGTGGGAGAAAGACAGACATCACCTCAGACAAAAACAGTGGACGGCTTTATTTTAATAAGGAAGGAGTCTGTCTTGACAGCAGCAAAAGACAAACTAGCTGCTGGGGCATTACACCAGTCCTTCAGGGAAACACAAGAAAGCAACAAATTCTTATCTCATGAAGTCTTTCAGTGCATGCCTTTATATGTAGGCCCAAGGAGATGAATGAGTGAACACTCCTCCTTCGATGTCAGTTGGCTTTCAAGGAGGCTTAAGTACAATATTAATAGTCTGTGACTTCAGATAATTGAAAGAACAAAAAATAGATCAAAGTTGTTTTTAAGGCAGATTAATACAGATGGCTAACCCACAAGGGTTGGAATGTTAATTAAGCCCATCATTCAAATTTTTAAAAATCTATATAAGAGAAAAACAGGAACATGAAATGTTGTAGAGAACTTATATGCCAACAAACCGAATCTAAACTGAGACGGTTGAACTCTGGTTATGTAAATTTCATGTGCATGCTTTATTAGTGAATTTGGGTTTGTCAAACTTGACTTTACATCGGGAAACAAACAATGGGACAGCAAAGCAGGGAAGATCAGGAGAGAGAGGTTGTATAGTGAAGAGTTGCTTTCTGGTCAGTAGAAGGTACTAAAGATAGATACAGATACCCCATTTGGTCCTTTAGTATAGAATAACATTTTCCCTAGATGAAATAATGGGGAATGAGATTCAAGTTTGTTTTAATCATGAAAAAGAAAAGTGTCAAAGCCTCGAAGCTGGCATCAAATTTCTTGCACTTGAAAATCAGATTCCACGTATGTTTCCAAAAACCCTAGCTAGCACTGTATTAAAAAGCACAATTATAAAGGCAAACAAGATTAAGTTCTAGAAGCATTCTCTCCTGATGTTTCGCCTGCCATAGATGAAGGTGAAAAATCAGGAGAAAATGCTTCTAGAATATAGCCATATAGCCCGAAAAACCTACAACAACCCAGTGATTCCAGCCATGAAAGCCTTCAACAATACAAAAAAGTAAGACATATTATTAAGAGCACATAGAAAAAAACTCATGGCATCAAGTCTAAAAAGTGCAATCCTAGGAAATAAGTTCAATATAAGCCAATGAGAAGCCATAGCTTTTTATATATATATAATTCAGGAAAAATGTTTTCATTCAATGGTACAAACTGGACTGCAACTCCCAGCAATCCAAGCCTTCACAGCCAATAAATAAAGCTGAGAGTAGCCATCCAAGAGAATCTGAAGGGCCACATAATTCCCACCTTACTGTAACTCAATCATGATCTTTTGCTTAAAAGAGGGGTCACAATGGATAAAATTCCAAGGACATTTTTCCACTAGTAGGACTGCTTCCCTCACTCAAACTAAAAAAGCTGTTTTTTTATACAATCCCAAAATCTGCTTTGGATTCAGAGGAAAGGTTAAAGGAAATGGGCAAATGCAACACAGAAGAGATGAGGAGGCTGTGCCTGTATGCCAGGCTTTCATTCATATGATGCTAGTTTCCATTCGCTATAGATTTATTTACTTATTTACCCTATTTATACCCTGCCTTTCTCTACCCCAAGGCGAGGGGGCGAGGGGGGGCTCAAGGCGGATTACATATGGTAATCATTCAATGCCTTAAATCAGGGGTCCCCAAACTATGGGCCCGCGGGCCGGAACCGGCCCGCCGAAGGCATTTATCCGGCCCGCGGGCTGTGGAGAAGGTTGAGAGGCGGGGGCCCGAAGCGGCGCCCAAACCGCTTCGGCCTCAGCCTCCGCCAGCGCTTCCCTAGCCTCCGGGATAAGGCCTGCCCTTATCCCGAAGGCTAGGGAAGGGGGGAGGCGGGGGCCGAAGCGGCGCCAAAGCCGCTTCGCCCCCCGCCTCTGCCTCCTGTGGCTCAGATGTGTGGGTGGTTTGGATCAATTCTATCGTTGGTGGGGTTCAGGATGCTCTTTGATTGTAGGTGAACTATAAATCCCAGCAACTACAACTCCCAAATGTCAAGATTCTATTTTATCCAAACTCCACCAGTGTTCACATTTGGGCATATTGAGTATTTGTGCCAAGTTTGATCCAGATCCAACATTGTTTGAGTCCACAATTATCTCTGGATGTAGGTGAACTACAACTCCAAACCAAAGGACACTGCCCACCAAACCCTTCCAGTATTTTCAGTTGGTCATGGGAGAACTGTGTGTCAAGTTTGGTTCAATTCCATCATTTGTGGGGTTTAGAATGGTCTTTGAGTGTAGGTGAACTATAAATCCCAGCAACTACAACTCCCAAATGACAAAATCATTTTTTTGAGTGAAGGATGTACATTGGGTTGTTAGGTGTCTTGTGTCCAAAATTGGTGTCAATTCGTCCAGTGGTTTTTGAGTTCTGTTAATTCCACAAATGAACATTACATTTTTATTTATATAGAAGTGTGGGTTTTTTTTAGGTTTTTTTTTTTGCACTGCAAATAAGATATGTGCAGTGTGCATAGGAATTCATTCATTATTTTTTTCAAATTATAATCCGGCCCTCCAACAGTTTGGGGGACTGTGATCCGGCCCTCTGTTCAAAAAGTTTGAGGACCCCTGCCTTAAATATATACAGCATTAAGCTTACAACCCACTGAATTAAAATTAACACATATTTTTTTAAAAAAATTAAATTACATTCAATATTAAAATCACGCCATCCAAAAATCACATATTCCAATTATATCATTGCACTGCTTCTCCGAAGGTCTGGTCTTACTCTCCTTCAGAAGGCTGGGGGGGAGGGGACTGATCTAATGTCATTAGGGAGGGAGTTCCACAACCGAGGGGCCACCAGTGAGAAGGCCTTATCACTCATCCCCTTATCTCTCATCCCCATCAGTCATGCTTGTGAAGAAGGTGGGATCGAGAGCAGGGCCTCCCCAAAAGATCTTAATTTCCAAGGTGGTTCATAGGGGGAGATACATTCAGGTAGGTAGACTGGGCCAGAACCATTTAGATATAAGAACTGGACCACATTCTGCATCAATACTTGAGGCAACATGCAAAAGAAAATGACAAATAGTAAAAGCTAAAAATGATGCGACAAATCACGATTAAGCTGCACATCCCATTGCAATGCAAATTTAAAACCGGATCTTATAGCAAAAGCATACATGACAGGAATTCAGCATCTTAAATTAAAAATAGAGTCAAATGGTATTTAATTGTTTACTCGCGTTACTTTCCCATACTATGTTCCCTCAAGTTGCAATTCTATGGCATCCATATCCAACATTTTCTCCATCATGGAGCTAAGTGCTTTAATGGGGGAAAATTATTTATTTTGCGGGAAACCATTAAGAGCACTACCTCAACATCTTTCAAACAATCCCCATATAACTGCTCTCTAGTAAAACAAATGACTGGGTCTCATTTGACTCACCTGAAAATGTATTCCAAAGTAAAAAAAGAAAGCACAGGTAGGAACAGGTCCACTATAGAAGAACAAAATTTCTAAATCTTGGTAGATCTGATTTCACTGCAGAAACACTGAGCATAGTCAAATTGGGAATTTTAAAGTAGGAAGGTAGGATATAAAACATATACATTTTAGGGTGCAGAAAGGAGTGTATGTACATTGTAGGACCATAACATTTGAATAGTTTAAAGAAGGCTGTGAGACTTCTTTCTCTGTAAAAGCTGGACTGCCCAAAGCAATGCTCATGCCCACCGAAAGCTGGCAGTTGACAAAGTCTCTGATGTGGGCTTGGAAGTTTAAACTAATGTAGGATTATATAGCCTGATTTGATCAAGCAGATTGCAAGGAACTCATTAAGCTGACTGTTGCTCATGTACACTGATTTCCTGTTAGCTTCCAATCCAATTCAATGTACCTTTAAAGCACATATAGGCTAACCACAGATGATGAAATGGTGAGATGTTATCGTTTGCTGAGAGCATGAATGGTGGCTGGAACACTTACTACAAGTACTCCCTATCAGGGTGTGGGAATTCATAACTAACTGCAGGTACCGATTATCAAAAACACCATATAAGAAAAATTCCCCTCCACAAAGTGTGCTTACAGTGCCAAAAAGTAGTAACCACAAAAAGAAGTGACACTCATCTTTTCCTTTGAAATTAAAAATGCTCAAAGGTACTTTATTAATGTTTTGTCACACCCTAAAATTTAGAGGAGAAAGCATTTAATGGAAGACTACAACTTCTGATCTTAAGAGATATCAAATATACCAAGAAGAAAACCCCAATCAAAATACCAAAAAACTAAAATTTCTTTAAAAACCAATCAGCAAGTCACTTGAAGCAAATTGAACTCTTGCATTACCAAATAACACCAACATGGGGAAAACTAGAGGTTCCTATTAATCACGCATACTGCTTTGGGGAGTAGCTCGTTACTCGTACAATCTAATATTGTTTGATATAATAAAGAAATATCACAAACACATGGGCAAGGCTAGTATGCATCGGCTAAGAAGAAGGGCAACAGTCAAGTTCATATGATCAGACAAGACCACAACTACAATACAGTATGTCCCATGGGATACTTGTTCTTGAAAACAGAAAATAATAGGTAACAGCAAACTCTGTTAAAAAGGAGAACATCCACTGAAAGTTACCTTAGAGAAGTGGTTCCCAACCTTTTTTTTTGGACCAGGGACCACCTTGTCTGGGGACCACTCTCCAACATTAGTATCAAAAGAGTTACAAATCAGTTTTTGGTCAACTTTAGATTCGGTTTGGTTATTTGTGGTGTTGATTCAGAAAATTGCATGGGATAGACCACATCAGCTCTAGTTTCTGATACAGAACATATGCCATTCAGTAGTCACTATCTGCTTGCTCACAGAAAACTATATTTAATAATTTAGAGCTGGTGTCTATCTAATGCAATTTTCTGAATCAGTACCCCCAAATAACCCGCAGGAACAGGCCTAAAAACGAAGACACCAAGGCACCCTGCTTCCAGGCACCACATGGAACAGCTCCGCTCAGGGAGGAGGAGGAGTAGCAACAGTCAGGAGGCTTGTTGCCGAGCCTTTCATGAATAGTCAGCCTCTCCCCTCCCAACATCTCTGTTGCCTTGGCACTGTAAGAGGCAAGACCAGCCGCTCTCATTGCAACAGTGTAGTAAAGGTGAGGCCTCAGACATTATTTCAGTTCTTGCGGACCACTGGTGATCTATGGACCACAGTTTGGGAACCACCCCTTAGAGTCATGCTGGACTCTATATTAGGTCCTCGAGAGTGGCACTATGGCAATTTCCAGAAGTACTGTATATCACGGAATCACCTAGAGCTGGTGTCACGAAACTAAGGCCTGCTGGCTGCATCCAGCCCTCCACCCTAAATGTCAAGTCTGAATCAACTTGAAGCCACACAACAGTCCTAATTAACTTGACTATTTCATCATCCAAAAGCAGGGTCACACTTCCCATTGAAACACTGTAAGTTTAAGTTGTTTAAAATTGCTCTTCATTTTAAATATTGTTTTGTTCTTTTTTTTTTGTTTTGCACTACAAATATATGTGCATTATGCAGAGTAATTCGTTGGTGTTGATTTCAAATTATAGTCCTGCCTCACAACAGTCTGAGGAACTGCAAACTGGCCCTCTGCTTAAAAAGTTTGAAGTCACTTGACCTAGAGAACTGCTTCTTAAATTGTGAATCCCAACTCCAAATGCCCTTAGTTCAATGTTGCATTTATGAAAAATTTCCAACAGTAAGTTTTCTGAATGCCACCTATTTACATACATCTGTTAACAACAATGTGCAGGATTTGCAGAAATGTTTCAGCTATACTTCACAAAAAACAAAATTAGCCTGTTTAGCAAGCCTGGCCAACGCTGATTTGTTATCATTGTTTGATTTTATACCTATTTTCTATACCTTAAAAATTGCAGGTGGAAAGGGGTATTGAGTGGAAAAAGTTTTAAAAACCCTGATCTAGAAAACATAGAAAATTATAGAGGATATATTTTGTCAGTTGTGGGTAAGTTAAACCCTAGGTACTTGCCTTGGAGGAATATGCATTTCACAGTATTCATATGACTTCAGTATTGCTGATTGTGCACTGAAATTAACTCTCTATTCTACCTCCCCACCATCACTGCAGCAAATGCCATTCCTGGCTTTATATTTATCACTGCACTACTTCTACACTTTCAAATATTTATTACTAACTAAACAGTATTTTTAACTAAAGATCCAGCAGATTGAATTTGCTCATGAAGATGAGTTCTTCCTTGAAGCCACGGGTCAATCAAACCTGTACTCAAGTTGGTGAAACTATGTGATAATTTCCATGACAGCTAAAAAGGGGAGAAACTATGATATTAAGTATTCTGTACACTCATTCTTAGCCTTGATAATAAGGCTGAAGTTAACCTACAGCTTTTGCTGCCTATTTATGACCATAAGTCATAGCGGTCCCAATAATAACATTTATTATTCTCATTTTATGCTCACATTCAAGAATTAAATAAACTACAAAACATGTAAACTAAAATGAAAAACACTGTAAATATAGAAGCTCTAAGTGAAATAAGCTTTTAAAAAAAACAGAGAAAATCACATCAGCTACTATAAAAAGATCACTGACAGAGAAGCATTACATAATGTGTAAACAGTACATTAATTACATAAAGACTATTTAAGAGATGGAAAGTAACATTAAAATGAACACAGACTAGGATTCTGTACAACAGCAAACTCTCTATGTTTCAGAACAACCTTTTTTTGACAATCCGCTGATATTGCTTCCTTTCCTTTTCTGGGAAATGTTAGAATCTTTGGATAGGTTGGCTTCCCTTTGGTGGTTCTCTTTGTTTGCAGTTTCCAAGGCCTGGAACAGCATAACAAAAAGGCTACTGAGAGGGGAAAATGTACTGCAGTCTTATGCATATGCATCTTTTTAAGCTCTCTCAATTCATATCTTATATGCTTAGGACTTTACCGCATGAAGGCAAACTGGCATTAAAGCAGGGCTACCTTTGGTTTATAATGGCAACAATCCCCATTTTACAGTGCTGTGCACATCCTGTTGCTGGTCTGCCTCCTTCCCATTATAAACCCATACATACCCCCAAACACGCATAGTATTGATGAAAAAAACCCATCAAAGTTTTATTTGCTTTTTTGTTAACCATACCTGTAAATGCAAAATTGCTTTTAAAAAATTAGGAAAAAATAGAGCAGCAGGGCAATATTACAACATTATATAGCAGGAGTGCGGGAACACAGATTAGTGAATCAGCACAGTTACTCGAATGCAGAAATGTGCAATATTAAGTGCTCATGCCAATATGTTGACACTATAGTTGACACTATGCGATGACATTTGTAACCCAGGAACATAAATTGTGTCACATAGTGTCAACTACACTGTCAACATATTGGCATGAGCACTTAATATTGCACGTTTCTGCATTTGAGTAACTGTGCTGATTCACTAATTGGTTGTATCATAAAAACATGGGGAAAGTTTATTAAACGGAAAAACTTTGTTTTGTGGAACATCCTGCAGCACATTTTGCTATCGTTTTTCAATGAATATCTCAAAGCTCAACCAATTCAACAGTTTGTGGTAGTCAAAAAAATGAAGTTTCTCAAGTGTAACAACAACCTTCAAAGTAAGTACTGCAAAATTAAACAGGACTAACACTTTCAAGGCAGGAACAGATTTTTTTTCAAATTTTGTCACATAGTGTATGTGACTACTGTGGAACAGCTTAGTACAATGTAGTCCTCAGTCTCTACAATTCTGAATTTGCAACACATTCTGCGCTTTAAACATAGCAATCAACTCTTATTGATACCATGTTCTCACCATCTACTCAAGATTCAGTGATAACAATTACTGTACAGCTTAAAATATGTTTTAACTTCCTGCAGCACTGTAAACTGCAGTGCTGCAATAGATTAAAATACATTTTACTTCATCAGTTTCATATCAGCCGGCTGTTCTTATTTTTCTGGAGCATAGAACAATATTTCCAAGATCTCCGTCATCTATGAAGTGTGTGATAAAATGTAAGTTTTTTTTAAAAGGGTGTGCATATTTCTTCACCACAGAAACACCAACTCTTTTACAAGTTACTTTAGGAGCAAGATCTAAACAATGAGGACCTGCCAAACAGAAATAAAAATTCCTTTCTGTAGACAGAGTGCATATAGCAAAACATGAAATATTGTTATAACAGTTTGAGAAAACATACATTATTAATTCTCATCACAATTTCTTTTTACTAGTTCAGAAAACAACTGAAAGGTCCTTATTTAAAAGACAGATGCCACCTAGTGTATCAAAGGAATAATCGCAATCTTTTCACTATGAACTTGCTAGGATTCGATCACAAGGAAGCACAATTGTCATAGAATCATAACAGTTGGAAGAGACCTCATGGACCATCCAGTCCAACCCCCTGCCAAGAAGCAGGAAAATCGCATTCAAAGCACCCCCGATAAATGGCCATCCAGCCTCTGTTTAAAAGCCTCCATAGAAGGAGCCTCCACCACACTTCGGGGTAAAGAATTCCACTGAGGAACAGCTCTCACAGTCAGATAGTTCTTCCTAATGTTCAGGTGGAATCTCCATTCCTGTAGTTTGAAGCCACTGCTCTGCATCCTAGTCTCCATGTCAGCAGAAAACAAGCTTGCTCCCTCCTCCCTATGACTTCCCCTCACATTTTTATACATGGCTATCATGTATAAAAATATCATGGCTAGCTGACTCTTTTTCTGTAGCTCCAAGACATGACTAAGGTCAAGTTCTCCTGCATTCATCAGTATTTGAAATTGCTCATTCTACATACAGGCTGAACTACAACTTTGCTCTCTCTGAGATAGTAGACATTCTTTTAAATCTCTGGGAAGTTTCTCCAAGGAGGATTAAAGGAGAGCTTCTTATATCTGCAGTCTAGATCCCTTCCTTTGGCTTTTATGATTTTATTTTGCTTCCTGTATAGACCAATTCTAATGGGTGAATTTCCAGATCTGCTAGCACAGTGAAGATAATAAATAAGATTTTCCATGCCTTCCTTTAATCAATTGGAGTTTTGTCTGTATTGATAACCTTTTTGCCCATACATGGAACATGTGGATTGCTACAAAGCTGTAAGCAAGACAGAATTCCAATTAAAGTATGATAGCAATAAGATAAAGTCCAAATACTCCTAAACCAAAGCATATTTTACAAGATCAGGCATAAATAAAATAGAATAAGCCCTCACCTGAAAAAAAAAAATCCCTCATTTCTCCCTTGATATTTTGATATAACCATCTGGGGGTGGGGTGGAGGGAGGACTTGCCTGGCTAGAAAAAAGGGTATTCCAGGAGAGAGAAGTTAATGCAGACACTTGTGTATCATGGCACAGTCACAGAACTTCGGTTCCACTCACTCAATTAAAGGAAAATATGTAATTAAGTGACGCAAATCTGAAATATTTCATGGGGAACAGCAAGACTGCACACGCAAAGATTAACCTACGCCCCATTCCTTTATAATAGAAGTTATTTTTCTTACCATTGTTGTCTGGCTTGCATACTTTTCTGTCCATTGTCTGGCATTTCTGAGGAATTCTTGCTTGTTGTATTTATACTCAGAGGACTAGACATAATAAAAACAAAAGACGAGTATAATTATGGCCTCTTAACCGTAAGATTGTAGTTATATTTGATGACAGATTTACCAAACACACGGAAAACTGCTCACCTATACTAGGTAGTACAGAGTGTGCATCTTGAAAGAGACCTAATGGGTTCTATACTTCTAGCAACACAGATATTGCTAATTCTAATTTTTAACAGGATGTTTCAAAGTGGAAAGTGTTGACATCAATCTCAGCAAAGCAAATATAATTTGCACATCCTGCAACAATTTAGTGAACATTTGCCTTTCCCAGATACATTCCCAGAAGTTCAGTTAATTTGTATGCAGAAGACAGACAGATGTGTGTTAAAAATGAACAAATGATATGGCACCATTTAACTTTCAAAACCTACCACGTATTTCATTCAAATATAAGAAGAAAACTTACTATATCTGCCATGAGAGGGTCATCAGGATTAGGCTCATTCATTAGCAACTGTACAGAAGTTAGTAATGTGGCAATGTTCAGGGATGGTCTCCATGCACCCTTCATAGAAGGAACAAGTGAAAAAAACCCCAACATGTTAGTTAGACATAAGGAAAAGCTTTTGTTATTTCAAAAGTTACTTTGAAAGTCTAAACTAAACCTTTCCCTGTGATTTTCTGGGTATTTTTGTAACAGATTAGGAAACTGCCAACCACTTCCGGCACCTCAATAAATGAACAGTGCATTTCTCTTCTTCTAAAGAGGATCCTAATTCAGATTCTAGTCAACTCTTCCTCCCAAGCTAGATTTAAGGGGCCCAGATAGGCCAATTCTTCCCTACTTTAGTTTTCTGGGTCATTTTTACTGAGCATTTCACCTTTCCTCAAGAATATTCAAATGTCTCTCACAACCTTTTTTCCTTTTTTGTACTTCTACAGAGCTTAGCATTGTCTTGGTCATAATGATGCTTCCCTCCTGTATTTCAGTGCCCCTCTTTTGGCTACAATCCAGCTAGCATTAATCATTGCTGTTACATGATTTTTGTTCCTGGATTATAAATGTAATTTCCTAATTGGTTCTATCATAAAAACATGGAAAAAGTTTATTAAATTGCAAAAACTTTGTTTTGTGGGATATCCTGCAGCACTTTTTGCTATAGTTTTTCAATGACTATCTCAGCGAGTCTCAACCAATTCAACATAATTTGTGGCAGCCACAAAAAAGTTTCTGGAGCATAACTACTTTCAAACGAAGTATCGAACAATTAAATAGGAATAACACTTTCAAAGCAGGAACAGATTTTTTTTCCAAATTTTGTTGCATAGTGTTATTATTATGCATGGCCAAAGAAAAAATAATTTTCCAACATACCCAGTTCTCAACCTTAAAATCTCAACAGCACTGCAGATCAACAAGACTTAGAATCATAGAATCAAAGAGTTGGAAGAGACCACATGGGCAATCTAGTCCAACCCCATGCCATACAGGAAAAGCACCATCAAAGCACCTCTAACAGATGGCCATCCAGCCTCTGTTTAAAAGCATTTAAGGAAAGAGCTTCACAACAATCCGAGGCAGAGAGTTCCACAGCTGAAAGCTCTTACAGTCAGGAAGTTCTTCCTAATGTTCAGGTGGAATCTCCTTTCCTGTAATTTGAATCCTAACCTTCAGGGCAACAGAAACAAGCCTGTTCCCTCTTACTTATGACAGCCTTTCACATATTTATACCAGGCTATCAGGTCTCCTCTCAACCTTATTTTCTGCAAGCTAAACATGACCATCTCTTAAAGACGTTCCTCATAGGGCACCGTCTCCAGACCTTTGATCATTTTAGTCATCCTCCTCTGGACACCCTCCAGCTTGTCAATGTCTCTCTTGAATTGTGGTACCCAGAATTGAACACTGTATTCCAGATGAGGTTTAGCCAAAGTAGAATAGAGAAGCACCATTACTTCCCTCGATCTAGACACAATATTCCTTTTGATGCAGCCCAAAATCCCATTGGCTTTTTAAAGATACTGTGGGCTCATGTTCAATTTGATGTCCACAAAGCCTACAAGATCTTTTTCACATGTGCTGTTGTTGACCCATTCTGTATCTTTGCATTTCTTTCTCCCTTTTTGCATAAGTGTAGCATCTTGCATTTCTCCTTTTTGAAATTCATTGTTAGTTTTGGCCCAACCCTCTATTCTGTTGAGGCCATTTTGAATTCTGATCCTATCTTCTGGAGTATTAGCTAGCTATCCCTCCTAATTTGGTATCATCTGCATACTAGATAAGCATGCCCCCTAAACCTTCATCTAAGCCATTAAAAAGACTTGGGCTCATTCAGAACATCTTAGTAAGGCAATACCAGTGAGATATCCCGAACCAGGACATTCAGCACGACTCATACTTACAGATGAAAACAATTATGTTTGGTTATTTATTGATGCTTTTATTGATTTTCATAAAAGAAACATATTACCTTGGGTGGCAATTTGAGAACATCAAGGCAGATTCTTCCTGATGAGTCAATGTTAGGATGGTAGATAGGAGTCAGGAAGCGCATTTTGGGGGGTTCAAATGGATATCTAGTTCAAAAGCAGTTAAATTACATGAGAAAAACATGTATTCAAAAATTCATCCCTCCTCCTTGGCCATTTGAGAACATGAAGACCCCCAAATCTAGAAGGAACAATGTAAGTTGACAGTTCTCTGGTTTCTATTCTAGTTCTTTAATAACCTGCAGTCCAACTTTCCCACTTCAACGCAACCTCTATTTTTGTCTTGATTCAAGGAGTGTATCTATATTGTAAAATTAATGCAGTTTGATACTACTCTAACTGCCATGGCTCAATGCTATGGAATTGTGGGAGCTGTAGTTTGATGAGGCACCAGCATTCTTCAGCAGAGAAAACTAAAGATCTACAACTCCCAGGATTCCACAGCACTGAGCCATAAGTGTTAATGTGATGTCAAACTGCATTTATTCTACAATCAAAATAATCTTTGCTAAATACAGTCTATATTAAAGTTTTAAAAATCACCATTTACCTTTCAGGCACAATTACTTCCAAGTCAAAAAGTCCTTTTTCATATGGTGTATTTGCAGAACCCAGTATTTCTAAAGAAAATGAAAAGATAAACTATATCAACACTGCCCTCTTTAGGTAACTGCTATAGTTACTATAAGCAACGTAGCCATAATAGCAATGTCTTCATGATTCCTTAAATGTATGCCCTTCTAAGACATTTGGCAGAATAGAAACAAACACATACTTTCAAAGAGAGTAATGACTATTCTGTAATAAATTTTACGTATCAGCTAAGTGCTGAATGAAATAACTACATGAAATCAATGTAGAATGTATATTACCTCACATTCACGCAAAAAATCAGTACATAAACTGAGAATGCCAAGAATCTGTCATGGCCACTCATGACTCTCAAAAAGCAGTATTAAACAATTCACAGAACAACACTAACTTTTCACCTAAAAAAATAACTGCTAAAGAAATGGCATCTACTATCCCAAATATATATTGCTAGGATAGAAAGTTTTATTGAACTGAGTGATTACACACAATCAGAATTTGTCTGAAACCTCAGAGAGTACTGAACCTTGTAACTGGATAAAAGGGGGTAAACATCTTTCTACAACAGGGAATGGGGGTTTCATCATCCCTAAAAGTAGACATGTAGGACATTAAAAAAAAAACCTTCATGAAGTCCACTTTATTAAAAACTGATTTCCAAAATTCCGGAGAGAGGGCCCTAAAGCATTTGGAGATTTCTAAATTCCAAAGGTTCTTGGAAGAGGAAAGAAAAATCTAGTTTTCAAACTTGTTCATAGAACAAAAGCAGCTTTGGTTGTCTTGATGAATAACCTACACTAGGAAATGGATGGGCCTGGTTGGCCTTGTTGGTTCTGATGACCTCTCATCAGCTTTAGACACTGTAAACAAAAGTTAACAAAATGAAAAGTGGGACCTTGAAATTGTAACACAACAAAATATGGAGCACTCAATGGGACGTGAATACAAGACAGCATATAGAACTTGCCTTCCTATCACCACAAAAAGTGTATTTTCCTATAAAAGCTACTGAACAAAAAAAAAAGGTGTACAACAAACAAGAATGGTTTGTCTGAATAACTATTAACTCATACTTGTGAAAGCTTCTAGATTAATTCTGTGCATGTTTACGTTAAATGCAATCGTATTTTGCTGAATAGAACTTATATTCAATCAAATGTATATATTAGGGCAGCTTTTGTTTTCAGGGAAGCAAACCTTACATTCACAGAGAAAGCACAAACAGAAACCAGCAGCACAAAGACTTCATAACCAAAGAATATGGATTTTGAGCCTAGGTTCCATAAAGTGTTTATTTAGCTGCAAACTAGTAGGTGTTTCAGAAGCAATATATGGAAGGTTGCTCAGGAAATATAAACCACTGATAATAAGAAAAGAATTGGATGGAACTGACACTTAAACATAATTCAGACAAATACATACGTGCTTTAAGTTCATCTATGCGGCTTCCATTCTGCCAGCATGTAATACCTGGTGGTGGTTCTGTAGTTAACAGATGCAACTCTCTCTTGAGTCGGGATGCCCTCTGCATTGTTCTGCAACAGCATGAGAAAAATAGGTAACATTTGGTTTCTCTTGTTTCTGCAACCATAAGTCCTCCTTTTATCATGAACTGTATTTTAACAGCAGAATAATCTTTAAAACAGCCTTCTAAAGCTTTGTAGTAAGCCATTTCATTTTTTATTTTTTTAAGGTTATAATTTTTTATTATTGTAGTAAGCCATTTCAAATGCAGCACATTGTTAATTGAAAACGCTCATTTCTATATACAGGCATACCTCTGTTAACAAAGCTTCTGACAAAGAAGCTCCTTTTAATAGAGTCTGTTTATGCCTGTCCAGCCCCTATTTGTTCCTTATCTTCTGTCATTGGAAACTTTTTAACAGCATCAGCACTGGGATGGTAGTAAAGGACACAACTAGAGAAAGACTTGCAGTGCTGAATTACAGCAGAAGGTCTGCAGTAAACAGTGCAATAAATCTGGGAAAACAATGGAATTATATTCTATTCAAACCTACTGTAGCTGTGTGTGCCTTTCCTAAAACAAGCAATGCAAATGGCAGCTGCCACTAAAAAACAGAAAATGAATGAAAAAGATCCAATTGAGTTCAGCTTGGACAGACTTATAAATGACAGACCTCCAAGGCATCCTACCATTAACAACTCTGCTCAAGCCCCATAGGCTTGGTTGGCGACTTCCTTGATTGAGTCCCTCCATCTCTAACGCTATCTTTTTTTTCTATTGCCTTCTACTATAACAAGCACTAATTTTGGTTTCAATGCCTTCATTGTCTACTTTAAAGATATAATAATAATAATACTTTATTTCTATTCCACCTCTCTTTTGGAGGCGTTCAAGGTGGTTTACAACATAAAGCGGCAAACATTCAGTGCTGTAGAGTGCAGGAAAACAATAAACAATCATAAACAGGTGAGAACATATTAAACAGCAATATCAAATAATAGAACTGAGTAGTAAATTAAACAAACATAGCTAAAATATACAATAAGACAATACACAATTAAAATGGGATTCAATAACTAAAACTATTAATAGTTTAAACATTAAAAATGTATTTTTAAATAAACACTTTATGTTAATAATCTTTAGTCACTGTTTTTGTTTTATTGTTTATAAAGTTTATTATTATTACTATTATTTCATTACGACTTGTATAACCACATTCCACAAACTCTCTCATACTCGTAAGCACAAAACAAGTATGTTGAAGAGTTTATAGAATGACAGATGGGACCCTGCTCCTCTTACGTACGGTTTTTATAAAGTTAAAGTATTGCCAAGGATTAATCAAACATGAAGCAAATCATAGAATCGGAAGAGACCTTGGGGGCCATCCAGTCCAACCCCCTGCCAAAAAGCAGGCAAATTGCATTCCAAGTACTCCTGACAGATGGCCATCCAGCCTCTGTTTAAAAACCTCCAAAGAAGAAGCCTCTACCACAGTCTGTGGCAGAGAATTCCACTGCTGAACAGCTCCCACAGTTAGGAATTTCTCCCTAATATTCAGGTGGAATCTCCTTTCCTGTAGTTTAAAGCCACTGTTCTCCAGGGCAGCAGAAAACAAGCCTGCTCCCTGCTCCCTATGACTTCCCTCACATATTTATACATGGCCATATCTCCTCTCAGCCTTCTCTTCTGCAGGCTAGACATGCCCAGCTCTTTAAGCCGCTCCTCATAGGGCTTATTCTCCAGACTCTCGATCATTTCAGTCACCTTCCTCTGGACCCATTCCAGCTTGTCAACATCTTATTTAAATTGTGGTGCCCAGAATTGGATACAGTATTCCAGGTATGGTCTGACCAAGGCAGAATAGAGGGGCAGCATGACTTCCCTGGATCTAGACACTATACTCCTATTTATGCAGGCCAAAATCCCATTGGCTTTTTTAGCTGCCTATCAGGTTGAGGGACTTACGTTTTTCATCATACACTGAGACGTACAGTGGAAATTAGGTATCTGTTGGGATTAGGTTCCAGGAACCCCTCCACTTACCAACATCTGTGGAAGCTAACGTATCATAATCTAAAATGGCATAGCAAAATGGCATCCCTAATATTAAATGGCAAAAATATAAATTGTTTTTTAGGACTTTGATGGGGGACCGACATTGGAGATGCAGAATCCGTGGATATGGAAGGCCATATACTTGATGAGTGAGAGGATAGATGAGAAGATGGAGTAAGGGGGGATGCAGTTTTAAATATGTTTTGATTTGTTTGTTTCATAACAAAATATTTAATTTTATTTAAAAGTTCATATTTTAATGCATTTCCTCAGATTTAATTGTATCATGTTTGCTATTAGCTGCCTTGACTCCCCTGTACTGAGGGCCCTTCCAGCCAAGCCTTATATCTCAGGATCTGATTCCAGGTTTTCCGTTTATCCCAGATTAACTGGCATTGGGGACACATATAATCCAGTTTAAAGCAGAAAACCTGGGATCAGATCCCGAGATCAAGGACCTATCTGGAAGGCTCTGAGAGAAAGGCAGGATTTGTGTGTGTGTGTCAGGGCAACTCGAGAAACTGTTGTGAGAGAATTGGTATTCTCAAAGGACATTGCCCAGGGGACACCCAGATGTTTGATGTTTTACCATCCTATGGGAGGTTTGTCATATGTCCTTGCATGGGAAGCTTGAGCTTGACAGACAGGAGCTTACCTTTCGGTCAACCTGTTCGGTCGGGACAAAACTGTATATGTTTTAATGTGTTTATTGACTATAACTGTTTTAATGGAGGGGAGTATGTTATTGTTTTAACTGTTTATTTTATTGGTATTGAATGGTACCGGAGTTGTAAGCCACCTTGAGTTCCCTAAGGGGGAGAAAGGCGGGGTATAAATGAAGTAAATAAAATAAATAAATACATAACACATTGCGCCACCAGGGGCAGGATAAAAACTAAGTAAAACAAATACACTATGTCTCCTTATGGATCAAAGTTTCCCAACTGGGTAGGTGGGAAACTACTCCCTACGCAAAGAAAGATGACAAGGACTCCTGGCAATCCTTTGCACCTTGACATTAGGACACAGCTCTCTTGATTCCAGGCCATACAGACTGGGGCTCACTGGAGTTGCAAAAGAGGGGTACCTTGCCTGAGTGAAACCCCACCCCAAAAAAGCCCCTGTACCTTTAATGGTTGTATAGAAAAGAAAACAGGAGGTGCTTCTTGTCACCCGACCAGGGAACAAGCAACATCTGCTGTAATTCCCTCTTCTTAGCAAATAGTAAAGGTTTTTTTGTCACACAGAGTAAAGGCAATGTATTGTCAAAGTGATTCATAGCCGGAATCATTGGGTTGTTGTAGGCTTTTTTTGGGTTATATGGCCATGTTCTAGAGGCATTCTAGAACATGGCCATATAGCCTGAAAAACCTACAACATCCCAGAGTAAAGGTACTCTGTTTATTTTGAATTGTTTTAGTCTATTGTGGTATTTTGTGCTGAGAGTGCCTTGGACAGCAAGAATATCCAACCAGTCCATACTTCAAGAAAGAAAGCTTACTGCTCATTGGAGGTAAGAATAATAGAGGCCAAGATGAAGTATTTTGGCCACATCATGAGAAGAAAGGAAAGCTTGGAGAAGAGTATGATGCTGAGGAAAATGGAAGGAAAAAGGAAGAGGGGCCGACCAAGGGCAAGATAGATGGATGGTATCCTTGAAGTGACTGGATTGACCTTGAAGGAGCTGGGGGTGGTGACAACCGACAGGGAGCTCTGGCATGGACTGGTCCATGAAGTCACGAAGAGTCGGAAACGACTGAACGAATGAACAACAACAATTGTGATATTTTACCACATTGAATTTTTGCCTGTTATGTTGTGGGGAAATAGGGCGGAATAGAAATAAAGTTTTACTTACTTACACCATTTCCTGGCCACCTGAAATGCTGGGAAGAAGCAGAACATGGTGAAGTTACTTTGGGGATTTTGTTGTTGCTGCTGTGTGCCTTTCAAGTTGTTTCCAAGGTATGACAATGCTAAGGCAAACCTATGGCAGGGTTCTCCTAGCAAGATTTGTTCAGAAGGGGTTTGACATCACCCCCTCTTTAGGCTGAGAGAGTGTGTCTCACTCACTCCAAGTCTAGCCTCCAGAGTTCCAGGGGTGCATCTACGCTACAGAGTTAGCGCAGTTTGATATCACACGAACTGCCATGGCTGAATGCTATGGAATCATAGGAGTTGTAGTTTTACAAGGCCTTTGGCCTTCTCTGCCTCACCAGACTACATCTCCCAGGATCCCACAGCGAAAGTGATGTCAAACTGTGTTAATTCTACAGTGTAGATCAGGCATGGGCAAACTTGGGCCCTCCGGGTGTATTGGACTTCAACTCCCACCATTCCTAACAGCCTCAGGCCCTTCCTTTTCCCTCAGCTTAAGCGCCTGAGGGGGAAAAGGAAGGGGCCTGAGGCTGTTAGGAATGGTGGGAGTTGAAGTCCAATACAACTGGAGGGCCCAAGTTTGCCCATGCCTACTGTAGATGCAACCCTCGCCCAATGCTCAGCCCACAAAATGTTCCAACCAGGCCTAACCAACTGAGCTGAGAAGCACCATCGGAACCAGAACTCCCTTCACACACACCCACAGGCCTGAGGGGAAAGGGCCTTCTCTTGCTGAATGCCTGGGAACCAACGAAGCAGCAGGAGCCACAGGCGCCGCAACGACTCACCGCGTTTCTCGGCCACAGGAAGGCAAACAAGCCGAGAGACAAAATGCGCGCCCTGTTTTGAACAGGAAAGACCCAGCGTCCCAAGCGCGTCGCAGCCTGAATGGACAGACCGAGTGTCCGTCAAAAGCAACTCAAAAGCGGATTGGCCAATGGGGACAATAGCTCCACCTCCCAAGAAATCTAAACAGTTTCTAATGGGATACAGTCTCTAGCGTTGATCTTGATACTTCCGGAACTAATTTCCCTTTCACTCTGCGTGGTGATAACACAGGGCCCTTCCACACAGCTGAATAAAACCCCATTTTCTGCTTTGAACTGGAATATATGGACTCAAGGCCCTTCCACACAGCCCTATAGCCCAGAATATCAAGGCAGAAAATCCCACAATATCTGCTTTGAACTGGGTTGTCTGAGTCCACACTCAGATAATGTGGCATTTCCTGCCTTGATATTCTGGGATATAGGGCTGTGTGGAAGGGCCCCCGGATAACCCAGTTCAAAGCAGATATTGTGGGACTTTCTGCCTTGTTATTCTGGGTTATATGGCTATGTGGAAGGGCCCTCAGTAATACCCAAACTCCAGTCTTCCAGCTGTTTTTAATATATTGTCAAAGGCTTTCATAGTTGGAATCACTGGGTTGTTATCGTTTTTTTCGGGCTATATGGCCATGTTCTAGAGGCATTCTCACCTGACATTTCGCCTGCATCTATGGCAAGCATCCTCAGAGGTCCCAACAGACCTCACAACCTGAGGATGCTTATCACAGATGCAAGCAAAATGTCAGGAGAGAATGCCTCTAGAACAGGGGTCCTCAAACTAAGGCCTGGGGGCCGGATACGGCCCTCCAAGGCCATTTACCTGGCCCTCGCTCAGGGTCAACCTAAGTCTGAAAGTACACAAAAACAACAACAGCAACAATCCTATCTCATCAGCCATTAAGTAGGCCCACACTTCTCATTTAAATACTAATAAGTTTATATTTGTTAAAATTGTTCTTCAATTTAATAATTGTATTGTTTTAAGTGTTTTTTGCACTACAAATAAGACATGTGCAGTGCGCATAGGAATTCATTCATGTGTTTTTCGAATTATAATCTGGCCCTCCAACAGTTTGAAGGACTGTGACCTGGCCCTCTGTTTAAAAAGTTTGTGGACCCCTGCTCTAGAACATGGCCATATAGCCCGAAAAAAACCTACAACAACCCAGGTTTTAATATAGGCATTTTGTAGAAATACGTTTTCATATGTGTTTTTTATATAATGCCTACCATGGTTACATTTTTTTAGTTATGTTGTAACATACCTCAAGCCACTATGAGAGGTAAGAAATAAAATAATAATTTTGGGCTTCAATTCCCTGCATTTGACTGCAGCCCAGGCATACTAAAAATATAGGCATTTGCTATTATCCATAGTTTCAGGAATCCATGCCGGAATCTTGGAACATATCCTTCATGGATAAAAGGGTCACATAATATTATTTATTTATATGCAGTGACCACAACTGTACACAGTAGTCTGGATATAGATACACTATAGATTTGTATAAGGGCAGTTCCATTTTCAAGTTCCCTTTCTAATTGTGCCTAGCAAGGAATTTTGCTGTTTAATTTTTTTTAGCAACTGCAAACTTTCTCCTGTGTCAACACTATTTTTACAATCCGCAATCCCTTTCTTGCTAAATCACTGGCAACTCAGTCCCATTAAGCTGGATTTTTATTATACTTTATTTTTGCCCCAGTGCATATCACTTTGCATTTGCTTACATTACATTTATTTGCCGTAAGAGGCTTTGTTGTTGTAAGTTCTACAAGAGATTAAAATCAGTTAAGATGCTGATGTCAGGTAAAATGGGGCCCTTGAGTCAATTTCTTCCCTTGTTAATTTCCTTAGGAAGCTGACAGCTAAATTTGGTAAGCACTTCAAAGATGATCCATAAAGTGTTGAGTGACTGTTCAGTCAAAGAACTTCATTTCTATTTGACAAACACTGTTCAAAGTCTCCTAACAAGTAATGACCCAGAAAAAGGAGGGCTGATAATTAACCCGAATTCACATTTCCTGTCACTAATTAGATTAGAGCAATTTAAAATGGTTGTGACATAGCTCTAAGTAAACATCATAAATTATATTTTTTTACAATTGCAGCAATCAAATCTTCATTTACAGAAAAAAAAACTAGTCATTATGAGTGAATCATAGCAGAAGTGGCAAAACATTCTGGTTTAGGATGTTATACGACCCCTGTATCTGCAAAGGGATATGTTCCTGCAGACTGGAAACCATGAATAGCAAGACCTTTGAAATGAACGATTTATGCAAAAATTGCCATACAGTCACCCTGAAGGACACAGAAAATTCCTAGAGATGACATATTTTGTCTGCAGACAGGGGTACTGTCTGAAAACTGAAGAGTTCCTGTCCCAGGAAATGACTGTGCTTCAGAAGAAAGGAATGAACACCTGTCACTAGCAATACGTCACCCAGAACTTCCTTCCAGATATTTTGGACTAAAACTCCCAGAAGCCCCAGTCATGACCAATAATCTGAGGTACTGGGAGCTACTATTCAAAGAAGCAGAGAGAGGAATAGTGAGACAAATAAAACCTCACTTGCTTCCTCCACCTTGCCAGTAGGAGCATCCTGTGAGCATATATGTCATTTCTGCCCAGAGAGCATTCTGCACTGTAGAATTAATGCAGTTTGACACCACTTTCACTGTCATGGCTCAATGTTACAGAATCCTGGGATTGGTGGATTGTTTGGTGTGTGTGTGTGTGTGTGTGAGAGAGAGAGAGAGAGAGAGAGTAGTCGCTTCTGGTGTGAGATAATTGGCCATCTGAAAGGACATTGGCCAGGGAACGCCTGGATATTTTACCATCTTGTGGGAGGCTTCTCACACATCCCCACATGACAAGCTGTAACTGACAGCTCACCCTGCTCCTCGGATTAGAATCACCGACCTTTTGGTCAGCAGTCCTGCCAGCACAAGGGTTTAACCCATTGCACCACTGGGGGCTCCTGGTGGTTTGGCGAGGCACCAGCAGTGTTTGGCAGAGAAAACTAAATGGCCTGTAAAACTACAATTATGATTTCATAGTATTAAATCACAGCAGTTAAAATGATGTCAAGCTGCATTAATTCTACAGTGTAAAATGCACCCCTGGTTAAGATCCCAACTCTTATTTTTGTAAAGAAGCCACGGAAGAGGTCTGCCTTGGAAGATGGAAGATGGTTACTGGCTGCTTATATACTGAACATTTAGGAGAGTGAGTAAAGTATTTCTAGCCAAATGTGAGAACACGGCAACCAGGTGCAGTGTGGATGACTACTGCTAAACTAGAAGCACAGCATTGTACTAGTCATCACGTTTATAAATGTCAACAGTAAGATGGTTTTCCTAAGTATGAAGTCTCCTTATCTTCCATTGGTCTAAATTAGGCATGGGCAAATTGTGGCCCTCCAGGTGTTTTGGGCTTTAACTCCCACAATTCCTAACAACCTCAGGCCTTATCATTTGAGAAAAGGAATGGACCTGAGACTGTTAGGAATTGTGGGAGTTGAAGTCCAAAACACCAGGAAGGCGCAAGTTTGCCCAGGCCTGGTCTAAACGCTTTTCAAACTTTAACCATAAATGACATTTTTGATAATTTGAAATAGCCATATAACAAGAGATTTGGGGGGGGGGGGGGGGTTCTGTACAGATTTGATCCCAAATCAACTTTTTCAGTCTTGATCAGTAATCTTAAATGCTGACGGTTGCCAAATGCCGAGGGATATAAGGACATTAAGTGCCGGAGGTTTAGCACAGCTGGTAAATCATCAGCAATTATAAGATCTATCAACCAAAAGGTTGCAAGTTCGAAGCCCCGGGTTGGCGTGAGCTGCCAACTGTCAGCCTAGCTCATTGTTTACCTAAGCAATTTGAAAACAGCTTTAGCTGTGATTAGAGAAATTAGGTATCGATAAAAGCGGGGGAGGTGTTTTACGATGCCATAAAAGAAAATGCTGGGTGACCAAAAGGAAGAAGAAGTCCTGGCGGCTCTTCGTCATAGAGGATGGAGTGACAGCACCCCCTGGACTCGAGCCCAACCTTCCATGGCACCAAAAACAGCTGAAACAAACCACCTGCTTCTGTCTGTGTATTGTCTATACAAAGCGGCACTGAATGTTTGTTGTGTATATGTACTGTGATCCGCCCTGAGTCCCCTTTGGTGTGAGAAGGGTGGAATAGAAATAAAGTGTTATTTATTGTTATTATTTTACAGACACAAAAGCACAGTATGTCACAGCAAACGAGATCTATATGCTGGATTTCGTATCACAAAATCACAAGTCAAACACTTCCCAAGCGTCTAGGACTGTGTGATGTATTTTCGAATGATGCGCAGATCCAAGTAAGGTGGCCTTTTGCAGTTGACAGATCATGATTTTGTCGATGTTTATTGTTTCCAAATGCCGGCTGAGATCTTTTGGCACGGCACCCAGTGTGCCGATGACCACTGGGCCCACGTAGTGATCTAGTTATTTTACTGCCTATATCAGGGGTCCACAAACTTTTTAAACAGAGGGCCAGGTCACAGTCCCTCAAACTGTTGGAGGGCCGGATTATAATTTGAAAAAAAATGAATGAATTCCTATGCACACTGCACATATCTTATTTGTAGTGCAAAACACTTAAAATCAATACAATAATTAAAATGAAGAACAATTTTAACAAATATAAATTTATTAGTATTTCAATGGGAAGTGTGGGCCTGTTTTTGGCTGATGAGATAGGATTGTTGTTGTTGTTGTTGTGTACTTTCAAGTCATTACAGACTTAGGTTGACCCTAAGTGAGGGCCGGGTAAATGACCTTGGAGGGCCGCATTCGGCCCCCGGGCCTTAGTTTGAGGACCCCTGGCCTATATGATAATGTGGCAAACGCACGCTGTAGCTTTCCATCATAAGATAAGATACAAATGTAAGTCTCATCTACACTGTCATACAATGCAGCTTGACACTCACACAGGACACAATTTTTCAACAGCTGCAAAAATATGCAGAAGTCGTATCGGTGATGTTTTCCTCCAGTAGCTGAATTAAGGGTTGAAGCCGTGGATACAGAGTCCGCAGATACGGAGGGCAGGCTGTATTTCCTAGCAACGGGTCTTTCGCAAAGCCTTCGCCCCCGCCAACGATGCAAAACGAGGCCGCAGCTGTTCTCACGCCCTCCTTCCTCGGGCGCCGCTTTGCGGAAACAAGAGGAAAGAGTCGCCACCGGAAGTGAGCCTCTCGCGACTCCGCTTGGCCGGAAGGCCCCCTTCCCCCTGTATAGCAACCAGCAGGTAACCCGGCGTCTGTATCATTATTCCTTTCCTCCTCCCCCCCCCCTCTCCTGGAACGCAAATGGGATCGCCCAGGGCTTCTATTCCCCCCCGCGCGCAAAGGGAAAATGGGCCATTCCATGCCGGAGGAGGGTGTTTTCTGGGCCTTGAGCGTCGCTTGTTTGTGCTTTGAGGGAAAGGCGTTGCTCCTCAAATACATTAATATTCAGTCCTAGGAAACTTCCGCCTTTAAAGTATTTAGTGAAAATAATGGTGGGAAGATTTTCCCTTTGGGTTTGCTGAATGCTTTGGTAGCAATCGTTCTGAATGGCCTGTGCTGGGTTGTTGTAGGTTTTTCGGGCTGTATGGCCATGTTCTAGAAGCATTCTCTCCTGACGTTTCCTGCATCTATGGCGAAACGTCAGGAGAGAATGCTTCTAGAATGCTTCCTGCATCTATGGCGAAACGTCAGGAGAGAATGCTTCTAGAATGCTTCCTGCATCTATGGCGAAACGTCAGGAGAGAATGCTTCTAGAATGCTTCCTGCATCTATGGCGAAACGTCAGGAGAGAATGCTTCTAGAACATGGCCATACAGCCCGAAAAACCTACAACAACCCAGTGATTCCGGCCATGAAAGCCTTTGACAATACAATGGGCTTGCATTCATGATGTGAAACTTCAGCCAGATCTTGGAAGCTAAGCAGGGTGAGCCCTGGTTAGTACTTGGATGGGAAACCGTACTAAGGGTACCTCCTACACACTATAGAATTAATGCAGTTTGACACCACTATACCATGGCTCAACTCTGGAATAACAGGAGTTGTAGTTCAACAAGGCCTTCAACCTCTGCCAAAGACTGCTGGCGTCTTATTGAGCTACAACTTCCAGGCTTCCATAGCATTGAGCTTCCATAGCATGGCAGTTAAAGTGGTATAATTCTACAGTGTAGACAGGTCCTTATGCTTGTGTTTTTTTTAATAATAATAATGATGATGATGATAATAAAACTTTATACCCCGCCACCATTTCCCCAAGGGACTGGGGGTGGCTTACATGAGGCCAAGCCCAACAACACATCACAACAGAAAAGCAATAACAACAATACAAAGCAATACAAAATAATATAAATCACATAAACAATAACACACAGGATTTAAAAGCTTATGGCCAGGCCAAATGTAATGATTTAAAATTTAAAAAATAACGCTGGGTATGACAAGATATGACAAGATAGGATATATCTCGTAGGAGGGTTTTAAAAAAATGAAGGGTAAAATTATCTTCGTTTTGCGTAATTATTTCTTAATTAGTGGCTTTAACAAAGTCATTTCTAGTAATCCTAAGAAGCATTGGTCTAGGACAGGGGCCCCCAAACTATGGCCTGCGGGCCACATGCGGCCCGCCAAGGGCCTTTATCCGGCCCGCGCGGCCTGTCCTGGCCTGTCCAAAGCCCCTCGCCGCGCGGCCCGTCCAAAGCCCCTCGCCGCCGCCAATGGCATCTGCTCTGCTGCGCTTCTCCCTCCACAGGCTTCTCCTTCCACACGGGATGGAGAAGCCTGTGGAGGGAGAAGCGCTCTCTGCTCTCCCACGGAGAACAGAGAGCGAAGCAGAGCGGACGCCATTGCTCTACCACAGAAGATCCCTGGTGGCGAGAATGGTGGAGGCGGCGCCGGGTGGGCGTGGCCAGGCTTCCGGGCCAGGGAAGCCAGCATCGCAAATCCCAGCAAATACAACCCCCAAACGCCACCAGTGTTCACATTTGGGCATATTGAGTATCAGTGCCAAGTTTGGTCCAGATCCATCCTTGTTTGAGTCCACAGTGATCTCTGGATGTAGGTGAACTACAACTCTAAAACCAAAGGACACTGCCCACCAAACCCTTCCAGTATTATCTGTTGGTCATGGGAGAACTGTGTGCCAAGTTTGGTTCAATTCCATCGTTGGTGGGGTTCAGAATGTTCTTTGATTATAGGTAAACTATAAATTCCACTGCTCTAAAAGCACCAGATCCCTTCTGATCTTGGAAGCTGATCAGAATCAGCATTGGCAAATGATTGGATGAGAGATCACTATCAAGCACCATATCCAATAGGCTATATTTAGAGGAAGGAACTGGAAAAATCACCTTCGAGGATTCATTGCCTAAGAAAACCCTGTGAAATTAATGCAGTTACTGTAAGATGACAGGCAAAAGTGTACACACACACTGAATAAATGTTTCTCTGTCTTCCAGTACAGTTTTACAGTTTATAGCATATTTTTCAGTTATGAATACATGTGAAATGTGTGTCGGTAAATGCAGTCCAGGATTTGCATGTGGTCCTCAAAGCTATTGTTGAAAGGAGCATGTCAAAAACAAATCCAGTTAAATTATTGCATTCCTGGAGATCTTCAGGAGTAATGTGTTTGCATTGGGAAACCCCCCAATGTCTTGAAATATCGCCCAAGCCCCCATAATCCCAACCAAAAAGTAAATATCTAGTCTGTTCCAGTTATGAAATATGCCAAATTTGGGGAAATACTGGGCTTAATGAAGTCTAGGTGAGCCTCAGTGGACAGAGCAATCAACATTGCCCTGTCCAGTGTACAGAGATGTATACATTTTAAGTTAGATCTTTCTCTCATAGTCAGGGATCTAAATGAAAACCAATCCATGAAATCCAGTCCAATAAACAGGCTATGACACAAATTGCGTCTGCTTTAATTTATGTAATTTTTATGCTGCTTTGTAATTATAAGAAAACCCACATGGTGGCTTGCAGTAGTTTTAAAAGACACAGTGGCAAAATAAATGTATTATACTAGAAATATTGTTTTAGAATATGTCAATCCTTGAAGTGATTGGCTTCATCCCTTGAAGGAGCTGAGGCATGGGCTAATAAACAACAACTATCTTAGAATTATAATATTTTTCTCTCCTCCCCCCCCCCCCCCCCCCCCCCCCCCCCGATTAGCATTTAACATAGCTTACACTTAAAAATACAGTTTTAAAACAATATAGACTTTTAAAATACAGTGCAAAGAGGACACAAAATATATTCTGGAATCTGCATGACAAGTACTTAGTCTCTACCCCTGGTATCTACTAACCTTCTATTGTAAAATTTAGAAATGTAGAAGAGGGACTTGTTCATTCAGGGATCTTTCTCTATTATTAAGCTGTTAAACTCTATTGTTAATACTGAAACTATAATATTTTAGTTTGTGTCATAAAGTTGAATTTTATTTTCATAGTACATTTGTGGCAATGTAGTAATTGAGGTCTATATACATGCAGTCGTATTGAGGTTGGGCCAAAATATTGTTATGCAATGAATTCAGCAAACAGAATGTACCTATATTTCATATTTTATGTGATAGTAGAATTCCATCAGACAAATTCCATCTTTTGTGGAATTTTCTTTGAAAGCTTCTAAGGACCCTTCCAGATAGGCCCTATATTCCAGGATCTGATCCCAGGTTTTATGTTTATCTCAGATTATCTGGCAGTGTGGACTCATATAATCCAGTTTAGAGCAGAAAACCTGGGATCAGATTCTGGGATATAGGGCCTGTCTGGAAGGGCCCTAAGTGTCAAATTCCCCTTTCCTTTCTCTCTCTTTTCTTTTTGACCATTTTCAGTCCTCTTAATTCATTCTAGGTGAAACTCCACTTTCCTAACCATTCCAATCAATGTATTTGTTTGCCCTTCATTTAACACTTCTGCTATCTGGTTCATCAAGTTTTTCTTTCTGTCTTTAATCTCTAAACCTTGACAAATTAGTTAACTAAGCACCTAAATTTAGCAGCTGCCAAACCTCAATCATGCAAATTCAAATTAAATTTGCATCTGCAATGTTAAACCACTTTGAATTCCATGCTGAGAGACAGATGAAAAACTAAATAAATAAAGAGAAATGGGGTGGGTTTGTGATAAGCAAGCAGAAATAATTTAAAAAATGGGAACCCCTTTTATGGCCTAAGACCAAGATAAATGATTGAACAGTGAGATTACTAAATTCAGATAACTTTTTGAAAATGAGTTTGTTAAGTGAAGAATTCTGTCACATTATAGAACATAAATTGGATGCAATATAAGATTTACTGTTGATTTGTATACGATGTCAGATGGGATTGTAAGACCTGGATGTTGAAGCATTTTAAACTGAGTGCAGCCCAAAATATTTTCATCTGAGGTTGCTCTTTGGAGGGGAAGAAAGTTATCTTCCAGTATTGATCTTCACAACAAATGAGGACTCTAATGAGTTCCCAGTGATTCCCAGAGTTTAATAGCACACACTTTGAAAAATACAGTTCTATAATTTAGTGTTTAAGGAAATGCATTTTGATAAAAACTAATAATCATTTGAGGATGACATACAGAAGAAAAGGTAGACAGAAGCAGTTTCCATGTTCACTGCTTTCAAAAAGAGACTTAAAAAAAAAGCTTTGACAGGAAGATATAAAATATCTCTCCGCATCTTACTACTCTGCTTCTTCTACGCTCCATTATCTCTCCAAGATTAGCACGAGGTCAGCTGTGGTTGTAAGGTGAACCAAAATGTCTACACTTTTTTGTTCAGTAGGAGCCTGTTAATTTCACCCAAATTTTATTCTTTTCCTTTAATAGAATTATCATCTTTTTAGTTTTCCATTTTCCTTTCCAAATCAATATATGTGCAAATTCTCACTTTTTTTTTTCCTTCCAGGACTCAGATAAATATCCAACATGTCTCACAGGACTATTCATCTTTTCCGGAAGGGTCTCCGGCTACATGACAACCCCACTTTACTAGCTGCTTTGAAGTCTTCCGAAATTGTATTTCCAGTTTACATATTAGACAGAAAATTTATGACATCTGCAATGCAACTGGGAACTATCCGTTGGCATTTTCTTTTGCAGTCTCTGGCAGATCTGCAGGCAAGCTTAAAGAAATTGAACTCTTGTTTATGGATTATACAAGGAGAGTATGAGGCCATATTGCGGGAGCATGTAAAAAAGTGGAATATTACACAAGTGACATTTGATGATGAAATTGAACCATTTTACAAGGAGATGGAGAGGACTATTCAAATGATAGGGAAAGAAATGGGATTTGAAGTATTTTCAATGGTGGGACACACCTTGTACGATGTCAAACGGTATGGAACTGATGTATGGGAACAAAGGGTATCTCCTGTGAGCCATATTAGTTTTATAACAAATGTGAAATATGTCTTTCATTTTGAAGCATAGATATAATTGCAATTATGTCTACCTCATAGAAGACATGAGACTTCACATATGAATAAGCATGTTTGAACTGTGCTGATGACTAGATGTGTACTATATTTTAGCTTCCTAAGCAGTGTAGATATGCTACAAGCATTTTGATACTCAAATATCTTTATATATTTGAAATCAAAGTGAAAATACGTCATTATTATATGGAAGGCTAGTAATAAAGAACGACATGGGGATACATATATTTTGCATGAATGACTAGATACAGAATTACTGGCAGTAGAAATATCCTTTTTACAACCATGTTGACACAGTTAGAAGGTCCAATATAGTAGAAATCAATTGAAGTTTGCTTATATTAAACATTGGTATGGGATAAACCAATGCCAGCACAATTTTAGTTACTCTGCAGAAATAACTCTGGAAGCTCAGTCTGTCTGCAGTATAGATAATGCAAATAACTGCGCCCCCGGTGGCGCAGTGGGTTAAGCCCCTGTGCCGGCAGGACTGAAGATCGACAGGTCGCAGGTTTGAATCCGGGGAGAGGCAGATGTGCTCCCTCTATCAGCTCCTAATGCGGGGACATGAGAGAAGCCTCCCACAAGGATGATAAAAACATCCATTCATCCGGGCTTCCCCTGGGCAACGTCCTTGCAGATGGCCAATTCTCTCACACCAGAAGCGACTTGCAGTTTCTCAGGTCGCTCCTGACACGACAAAAAAACAAACAAACAAACACCCAGATAATGCTAAACTGCACTGATACACATCTGATGTGTGATAAGTAGAATGCACGGCTTGGTATGTTAATGCTTATTTAATGAAAATCAACCCTAGAAAAGACAGTGCTGTTTTCTACTATATTTCATAGCAGAATCCTATAGAAATATGTATAGTATTTACAAATGGAAATATCAACTTGCAGTGAGGCAACAGGCTCATGCTCATTTGCCCTATCCATAAATTCTATGTATTTGTAATTAACTGCATGGTGCTCAGATGCACTGTGTCTTATATACATCCAATAATGCACACCTCCTAATATCTCAGAGAAGTCCTGTATACAGTGGGCCCTTGGTATCAGCTGGGAATTGGTTCTAGAACCTTTTATAAATATAAAGACGTGAAAGCCCATTTTATACAGTGTCCCTTATTTAAAGTGGCAAAGTTATGGTTTGTTTTTTGGACATTTTAAATATCTGAAGTCACGGATAGTGGAATCCATGGATGCACAACCCATAGATATGGAGAACTGACTGTATGTACTATAACAAATGTAGAAAGCTAGGATTGCGCAGTCTTAGATGTTTTCAGTTCTAAATATTGTTACTGCTTAAGTTGCTAAATGATTAAATAGTTATTTTCTAAACTTCCAACAGAAAGGAAAAAATGTATAAAATAAACTGAAAATGATTGAATCTGTCAAAATTTCAGAATCCTTTATGTATGGCTCTTTATAAACGTATCAGTGTTGACAAGTTACAGGCCATATGGTTTAATATACTACTTGTATAACCATGTTTGTTTTGATGATCATTTATTCTCCTACTATGGGCAAGTAAAATTGTCTTTTTGAAATGTAGGATTGTGGAACTAAATAAAGGAACACCTCCACTGACATACAAGAGGTTTCTCCAGATACTGACTACACTTGGAGATCCTGAAATGCCTGTGGAGGACGTTACAGCTGAAAATTCACAGTAAGGCATGACTGCATTGTTATAACATGAAATGCATTCTACTAATTTAAAATGCAATTTCACGCATGTTTACTATGGTTGTGTGCTTTCAAAATGATTTCAACTTATGGTCACCCTAATATGAACCTATCATAGGGTTTTCTTTGGCTATTATTTTAGGGTAGAGTTTGTTTTTGTCTCCTCTGCAGAGAGAGTGTGACTTGGTTAAAATCACACAGTGGGTTTCAATGACGAAGCATGAATTTTAATCCTTGTTTCTAGATTTCACCACATTGGCTTTCAAAAAAATGACATTCAGTGGAGATTGCTTTCAAAGGACTGTCATCTTTACCGTTAATGCCAGTCTTCAATTTGAAGATGCACTTCTCCCCCTATATAAATAACTTTTAAAATTGGGGGTGTCTTAGAATTGCAGGTGTACCTTATGTATTTTTGGTGGAAGTGGTAAAATTAGGATGCATCTTACAATCGAAATATGGTAGTTAAGTTATATTTTAGGTCATGTTGCATTTGAATTTCATTTTTATTGCTTATGGCTTTGAATTTCTTTTATCAACCCAGTCTAGCCATAGTTAAGTACTTTTAACGGTTACTGATTTCAGTAGAATTGCAGTAGAATTAAGCTGACTGTTCTTGAGATTTAAAACTGCTTCATCTTGATTAGATACTGATCTGTAAAACATTGCACAACATTATGCCAGTTCTATCATTGAAGTTTATAATGTAGACATGTTCTATGTGTGATTAAAACTATTTTAAGGAATTAAGCATTGTATTGTATAAGAGCCGGAAAAATAGCAATAGGAACTCAGCTCATATTATTTATTTATTTATTTCATTTATATACCACTTTTCTCAACCCCTTGGGGGATTCAAAGCAGTTCACAACAAAGTAAATGGCAAAAGTCAATGCCTCACAAAATATAAAATGAAACACATAACTAAAATAGCATGTAACAATAGATTAAAACCACTAAACTATAAAACATCATAGACAAAATAATGCATAGAACATTTGACAGTTAAAATATCCTTCTATCTTGTACATTCTTTTACTAATTAGTAAATAACTTCTTATTAGGAAATATCTTCAGGCCTCACAACCTCTGAGGATGCCTGCCATAGATACAGGCAAAACGTCAGGAGATAATACATCTGGAACATAGCCATATAGCCCGAAAAATTTACAACAACCTAGTATCTTCTTATTGTAGTTCATCTGGGGACTCTTTAATTTGCAGTGATTTCTGGTAATCCCTGCTTATGTTATGTTTAGCATAAAAAACTTAAAAAATGGGCTGTTGCATCCCCCCCATTTTTATTAGCTAAAGGACATGGGTTTTCTCCAGCACCATTTTCTAGTGGATCTCCATGGTCTGTTATGAGAGTCTTGATCTCATTTAGCAAGCTAAATGGGACAGGCTTTTTATCTTCCTATGGCAACTTTGTGATAAGTTCTTTCCTTTTACCTCCTTAGAAAACTTAGCCCTTTCCCTGAGGAGGGCCTGGATGAATGTTACGGAGTGCCTCTCCCTGAGAATTTGGGAATTTCCAAAGAGTACCTGTCACCTTGGAGAGGTGGGGAAACTACTGGGCTACAGCGACTTGAAGAGCACATGAAAAATCAGGTCCGTCTTCTTTCTGATATGTGTTTCTAGGCATTTGCAAGCAGAAAAACAATCTCTAATCTTCCTAATAGCCATTGTCTGAGAAATATAACTGTTTTTTCTATTATAAATGATCTAGAAGATGTGCTACATGTTTTTGTTTAATTTTTCAACTTCATCTTCAAAGTTTGGCTTTAATGACAGTGATTTTTTTCAGTTGTAGTTGCGCATATTGCTTATGAGCTTAACCATCATACAGGGGCAGAGAATTGGTCACAAGGTGGAACCAGTGACACAGTCATCTTTTGTGAACCAAAAATGCCATCACTGAAAATGGACAGTGGATGGGGATGGGCGAAAACACACCCGAACCCTTAAAATGTGCACCTAGTGTTGCTATTGTATGTCACGTGTAGGCTGAATGTGTACCTAGTGTCTTTTGAGAAACAGAAGTACAAAGAAACCTGTAGTCACTCTACGGTTATGTGTGCCAGTATGCATTACCTGTAGAAAATGTCATATTTATATTGAGTTAGTAGCACAGGGCTATTAGATTATGTCTTATTACAATCTTTTTTTTCTCACTTCCCCCAAAATTGGGACTTATAGCAGATCTACCATGGATGCTCTTCCATTTCCTTTTAGTCCATAAACATGGCATATAATTGTGTGTGCGTGTTTGTATGCCTTCAAATTGCCTGCTGGCCCCATGAATTTTATAGGGTTTTCTTAGGCAAGGAATACTCAGAAGAGATTTTGGGAGTTACTTGCTCTAAAATATAGCTTGTAGCATCTGGTATTCATTTGTAGTCTGTCATCCATACACTACCCAGGGTGACCCTCCTTATCCTCCACGATCAGATAGGTTTTGGTGCTTTTTGGGTACTTACACCAGCTTTGTTTCAAATGATACTCAGAGTAACTTCCACATAACATTAAAAATGAATACAAATACGAAATAGTGACATGAGATCTAAGATCTAGTAAGCGTGAACAACTAAGACATGCAGAGTCAGCACAGTAACAATCCAATTTATACAGTGTTTTTTAAAAATGTTTTTCTATTTTTCTTTTAAGGGGTGGATAGCAAAGTTTGCCAAGCCAAGAACTATTCCAAATTCTCTGCTTCCGAGCACAACAGGATTGAGCCCTTATTTCAGCTTGGGTTGTTTATCAGTTCGGATGTTTTTTTATCGGTTGTCTAAAATTTATGCTCAGGTAAAAGTGCAGAACGTTTTTTAATTACTTATTTGAGATTTGAAATGATTTTACTCTACTGTTTGGCTAAAATAACTTGCAAAAGTGGCTTGCAAAAAAGTAGAGGTCAGGCAGTTCCAGAACTTAAATTTACAAGTAGAAATCACAACACAAAAGGGAAAGAGAGAGGGAAGAACGAAGAAGAAAGAGAAATAAAACACACACAATAGTTCTTAATACAACTTGTTCTTACAATGACCAACTAGAATGGAAAAAGTTCAGAGACAGAAACCAAACGTTAATGGTCTCTAAACAGAATCAGTTGAGTAACCCTGCCCTCCTGTGAAGCTCACAATAGGTTTCTGAAAGCAGTCTTAAGGCCAGGTTGAGCTCATGTGGTCCCAAACATTAACAGGTGGATAATTGTGCCAAATGAAGTTTGCAGACTGCCTTTGAAGATGGCTCTAGACCAGGGTAGGCAAAGTATGGGCAACCTGTTATATAAATCTATGGGGGCTTTCAGGGGTAAAATAAAACCTCCCTCTAAGGACATGTAGGATTTTTTCATTGTGTTTCCCACCCCCAGGCCAATTTAGACTCAGAAAAAAATATTTCTTTAAACAGGAAGTGACACCCACTCACTTCCTATTTTTAAAGGCCTCTCTGGGGCCTAAAATGGTTCAGGAGAGTCCAAAAATATGGTGCAAATGCCCCCTTCCCCAATCTTTAGAAGTCATTTCAGACATAATAATGTCATATTTTTGTGTGTAGAAGTTCAGTGGGGGCACATTTGCCCACCACTGTTCTAGACAGAGAATATAGCAATAGCTTAGTGTTAATGCAGCTGGGCCTACTTTCTCCTGATAGCACCACAACTAAACAAGCACTTCAAGCCAATGAGGCCAGTCTGGCTCCCATAATGCTGATCCTAGAGCATAGCCAAACATTTACCTGATTAGGCAAGACACTTATAATACCATGCAGAATTGGTTGCAGACCTCCATTAAGAGCAGCTGTCTTCCCGAAGTGTTTTGCTATGTTTGGTTTAATATATCTGCATATCTCAGTCATAAGGTTTTTACTTATTTATCTCTCTAGTTTTGTGTACATTTTTATGGGCCTTTCTCTGTGTTACAGTCGAAGAACCATTCCTTGCCACCAGTATCTCTTCAAGGACAATTGCTTTGGAGAGAATTCTTTTATACAGTAGCATCAGCAACACCTAACTTTACAAAAATGGTTGGGAATCCCATCTGCCTTCAGATAGAATGGTATGAAGATGCAGAGAAACTCCACAAATGGAAAACGGTAAGCCAGTGGTACAATATTACTATATATCTGAGAACACAAATGGCCATTTCATAGGTCTTTGGAATTTGACAATTCAAAATTAATGAAGATGTAATTTATAACACATTATCATGTCTTCCATCTCCAAAAGACACAGAAAAATATTTCTTCATTGTGGTCTCAGTGACATTAGCACATTTGATATTTACTGCACAAGTGCAGGAAATAACAGATGTGCAAATTTCACAAATGACCACTCAAAGAAACATGGTTACAGGTAAGCAACCATTACTTATTGAGAAAATGATAAGTTGTATTAAATAGAAATATTAAATGCAAATAGAGAAATCAATAGATAATAGTGATTTGGAGGGTTTAAAAAAAATCGGAATAATTGTTTACGAGAAAATGCTTTTTTTCCATATAGAACTTTCTAATAAAAGTCTATGCTTTACTAGAATTTGAAGAACTTTAGCATTTTGTGTTGTAATCCTGGATGAGAAATGTTTATAGTGTAATATGAGCTTATTAATTTTGGGGTGGGGTGGACAGGGCATCCTTGGCATATAGAGATTAGATGTTGATCAGTTTTTTTAACAGTGCAGGGATCATTCCCAAAAAAATCTTTTTTGTTAGATTTTCTTTTCCATTCCCTGCAAAAATTAAGGAATAGCTTTATAGAACCCCCATATTTTAAAATCATGGAGAAGAAAACAAATCTCCACACGATGCCAGATACATAATTAGCAGAAAAAACACATGCTTTTCTTCAAACATGGAATGTAGCCTGTGGGGAAGAGGGATTTACTTCATCAGTGGGAACTTTCTTTCCAGAGGCAATAGCAACCCTTTCCTCAGCACCAGTATATCAGGGTTGTGACAGGGAAGGAAAGGGTTTTCAATGAAAAGTGTGGTCTTCCATCTGGTTAGTCTCTTTCAAAAATGCATATAGTTGCTAATGATGATTTTAGTCCTGATATTTTGTATAGTACTATAGTCTTTCGATAAACAGGAAACTGCAGTTTATCTTTCAATAAAAAGGCAATACTGAAGGAAAGAGACATGCACAGTTGAGCTCGGTTTTAAGAAATTGAGACCATTTGTTTTGTGTCTTTAGGCACAGACAGGCTTCCCATGGATTGATGCCATTATGACCCAACTCCGTCAGGAAGGCTGGATACACCATCTTGCTCGCCATGCTGTGGCATGCTTCCTCACACGGGGAGATCTCTGGATCAGTTGGGAGGAAGGCATGAAGGTTTGCAACTATTCTTTTGTCTGGAATCATGTTTGAAAATTCTGTAAAAAGAAAACCGTTTAGGTTTGAAAGTAATCTCAGTTCTTTTGTATTAGCTCCTTTAGATGAAAGGTTTGAGAAAGTTCACCTCTGCTCTTCTTTTAATGCCTATTTTTGTTTCACTATTTTTATATATATGCACACACACACATACATACACACACAAAAGCATTTAAATGCATCCAGGTTTTATTTTATTACTCTCATTAATGCAAGGTGTTTGAAGAGCTGCTTCTGGATTCAGATTATAGCATTAATGCGGGGAACTGGATGTGGCTGTCGGCCAGTGCTTTCTTCCACCAGTACTCACGCATTTTCTGCCCTGTTCGATTTGGCAAGCGTACAGATCCAGAAGGACATTATATTCGGTAAGTTCCTGTGGTTGAATGATTCCATTAATTCAATGGCTGTCATCCTAAGGACCTAGAATACCATGTCATCCAGTTCCTATAATGGTGAATACAGTATATACCAGCAAACCCACCAGGACAATGTGATGGCAATAGTGGTTTACAATTATTACCTTTCATCAGATGGTATTCAGTGGCAGCGGGCTTCTATTTCGCTATTTGTGTGCAGCAGTACTTGATAGACTGAACTGTTCCCCGTGAATTAACATATAACATATAATAACTACTCTCACTTCTAAAATGAGCCCAAAACATAAAGTGACATGAAATCATTTCTAATTGTGTCCAGTGCATTGAAGTAGCATTTGCAGCAGAAAATAAGCCTTGCCTCCTTTGCAGTTGTCCTCTTCCCCATGTTAGAGTTGGAGATAAATCAAGTCAAATTGTGCACTTGTATTTAAATAGATCATCCTTTAGTTTTTTAATTTGATTTCTTTATGTCATGTCTGCATTTGACTTCAGGGTGTGTAGTGTACTATGCATAATGACAACCTACATAGATTGTGTCTAATTTATTCTGCATTTATCTATGGAATGTATACTAATTACATTTTCCAGAAAATACCTCCCAGTCCTGAAAAACTTTCCTTCGAAATATATTTATGAACCTTGGACAGCACCAGCAGAAGCACAGAGAGAAGCAGGCTGCATTATAGGTAATATTCAATAAAGTATTTATCTGTATATTCACATGGTATATGGATCTAGCATATTTATATAGTATATGTTTTTATTTGAATGCTGTCTGGATCTTGAGCTAGTAATGTACTCCCTTGCCTCATTAATCTTTAGTCATAAAATCACAAAGTTTCTACCATTTAAAGATCGATTTGCGTTGATTCTCAAAATAATCATTTTTGTATCCTTTTTATCTTGGATTAGGTAAAGAATATCCCTTTCCTATGGTAAACCACAAAGACGTCAGTGATATTAACCTGCAGCTGATGAAAAAAGTCAGAGAAGAACAGTATAAAACAGCTCAGCTCACAAGAGGTGTGTCCACCAACAACACACATTGGATCGTCTTAGTATAATGGGAATTGTGGGTTTCTCAGAAAGTCTTGATAATACAGTTTCTATCTAGTAGCAAAATAGTCATCCACTCTGTTCAGCCTTTTAACGCAGAACTTCATATATTTTTATGTTACCATAAAATTCAGAGTCCACAATAAAATAATCCAAATTTGATATCAAGAAATGGTGAATTATACTTGTAGGTACATTTGCATATTTTAATGGTTCTGCTGCTATCTGAAGGACATTGTCCTCTTTGAAAACCCTCAAAGATCACCCTCTTTGAATATCCAGCCTGCTCAGCCCTAACTTTGGTTTCTGAGATTTTACCATGAACGTAGAAGCCAGGAAGTGTACAACAGTGTACATGTCTTGTAGGTATCCAGTCTCCATAACTGGTACACAATTTGTTTATAATCTGTATTATGAGGACTGACATGGTTTAGGAGTGGAGGGTGCAAGATAGAAGTGGATGCCAAGTGGCTCAAGAGAGAGTCTGCCAAAGGAGTCTGAAGAAATAATAGATGACTATTGAGTTCAAAGAAAATTCATAGTACATAATATCTCCTGAAATTAGTAGGTGCTCGTTATTCTTTTAAGTTTTGCTTTTTAAGATGGAAAGTGCTTAGAAAACTAGGGAATATGTAGAATTAATTCTCTAGAAACTTATTACTATTGGTTATGTTTCTATGGTTAAGGGCAGAATCCCACAACTAATTCTCCCATCCCAGTGCAATTTGAGACTTTTATTTTTCAAAAGCATCTTCTTTCACATGAATTATTATAAACAAACCTCTAAACAGCTTTTAAACCTAGTTTATGATATGAAGTCAAAATTGGGTAAAAGTGTAGTTCAATGCGGGAAAGGTTATGACATCTTATTAGGTATACCCAAGCTCTTGGATGTACTTAAAGTTATGTTGGATTCCTGTCAAAGTACTTCATTTGCATTTCTCTTTCTTTATTACTTAGGTACTGTTTCATTTGAATAAGATTTCTAACCATTGTATCTGACCAGTCAAGTGATTATTCTGAGTTGCCTTTCAACTCTTAAGATTTTGTGATACTATGATACTCTTCTCCTTTCTAGATGAAGTTGATGATCCAATGGAAATGGGGCTAAAACATCGACAGTCAGAAGAGATCACTCCAAAAGGAAAACATGCCAGAAAAGCTGAAGAAGTATAAAAAAAACCAATCTCCTTCTGTTTATGTTTACTTTGTAGTAAGTCTCACTTCATTCAGTGGGACATATTTCCAAACATGTATTTTGAGAATCAAAGCTTGATGCATCAAAAGAGAAGGTTTTTTTATTATTATTATGCAGACAATAGAAACTCTTTTAGATTTATCAGAATGGAAAGTGGTGCTGTGCTGGAGGTAGCAATTAGTGGTTGCCCGCATAGAAAAGAATCATAGAGTTGAAAGAGACTGCAAGGGCCACCCAGTCCAACCCCCCGCCATGCAGGAAAAGTACAATCAAAGCACCCCTGGCAAATGGCCATTTAGCCTGTGCTTAAAAGCTGCCAAAGAAGGAGCTTCTACTATACTCTGAGGCAGAGAGTTCCACTGCTGAACAGCTCTTACAGTCAGGAAGTTCTTCATAATGTTCAGGTGGAATCTCCTTTCCTGTAATTTGAACCTATTCCTCCGAGTCCTAGTCTCCAAAACAGTAGAAAACAAGCCTGCCAAATATTTAAATATGGATGACTATCATGTCTCCTCTCAACTTGATTTTGTCCTCTGCAATCAATGTGTTTTTCTTGAAACATCTACATTTGAAATCACTCATGGAGCAACTAGATGTACAGATGAATCATGCCATTTCTAGCGTCCTCTGCTCTCGCATACTAGTTGCAGAATGTCATGACTTTGAAGACATAATTGACATGAAAACTGGCTTCATTCTGTCACCAAGTTAAAGCATAGCTTTGTATTGCAGGCTTTGAGGTCTCTTGCCAGACTATGTATAGGTATATGGTTTAACACTGATTTAAATTGTTCTAAGTTGTTTAAGTTATTTTATGGGGCTTTTGGTTGTTTATATTGTTAAATTACTTCTTACGGTTTTAAATTGATGTATTTGTACACTGCCCCAAAACAGAGTAAGATATAAATATTTTAATAAATAAAATTTATATCGAATATTGTATATTTATGTTCTGGCTGTTTGGCATGGACTCACTGTTTTACAGCATTTTATTTTGATTTGTGCTAAATCAAAAGTAACAATCATTTTTTATGAAGTTTTGTTTCAAGAAGAAATGCAAGCTGTTTTTAATACCACACTTTCACTCTGCTTTGTTCAATATCCAAAGAGAAATATGACTCAAGGACATTTCTATGCCTGTTATGAAACCCATAGGGATTTACAGTTCAAACAATATGTGATATAACTGTACAGAGGGTGGGGTGGGGGGGGGGTTAAGGGAAAAAATCCTAAAACCTACAGTCAATACCACTTGATTTTGTTTCCCAGGCAATTTATATTGTGGAAATATTTGACCATGAAAAAGCAGGTATTGTAAGGGAAGACTGTTTTAAGTATGGTGTACAGCTTAAGAAACCTAGGGTATGAAGATAGAAAAAAGTGAGAAAACAAGCTGCTTAGAAAACATTCCAATTGAGTTTACTTAGAGATAACAAGAGAATTGTCAAGAATGGAAATAAAGGAAATGTGGCCAATAGAAAATCAGGGCAGATCTTTAAAGCCATAATTGCATAAAACAGATAAAGAAAGCAGTCTACAGGTTGTATGTGTTGATATATATTATGCAAGTTTTCGAACTCACATAATTCTTCATCAGGCATGGCTATTAAAAGTAACAACAACGGAGGGTCACAGAGCTGCATCTTTTTCAGATGTTTAAGCTGGGTTTGAAATGACTGAAGATTTTGTGCAGGTAAAAGCCACATCCTTGCCAGCCATGACACATTCAGGATACAAAAGCTGAGAAAAGCAATAAAATGATTTTCCCAATAGAAATCAAGGCAGTTCTTTACAGACCCAGCCCCTATGCTTTGCAAGACAAGAAGAGGTGAAAACCTCAGAGGGTGAGTCCCAGTCCATGTGCTCCCTCTTGCTCACGATTCCTGAATTATTCTGGAATACATAGGGGATTAATGTAGATCAAAATCAGCCAGGCCATTAATCTAAACTTCCATAACATGAAATAGATGATTTTTGCAATACTGTGCACAGGGAAATATGACAGGACATATTAACGTTCTGTAAATGTATATGCATATATAGCATATACCTATGATTGTTCTATTTTTTGTTCTACAGTCTGGAATTGAAAAGGATTTAACTGGAATTTTACTAATTCATATAAAGAAGACACTTAACACTATGAAGGCACAAAATATGAATGTAGCACAAAAGTGAAGTAAACAAAACCAAAGTGCCACTTCCTGATTAAGTATTCTCTTTTATTATGACATGTCTAAGCAAGATTTACTACATTGTGCTGCCTCCAGAAGTCAAAATGGTATCTACTGAAAATCCCAGTATTATATGGACTCAGACTTATAATAATGACAATAATAACATTATTTTTATACCCCGCCTCCATCTCCCCAAAGGGACTCAGGGCGGCTTACACGGGGACAAGTCGAAGTGAACATGGTTAAAATATAACATATTAAAATATCTAAACATCAACATAAAGCAAAAAAAGGAAACCAACATTATAACAAAATATGAGAACAAAACATCAAATCAATAACCAGTGAGCTCTATGATATTTATTTAATTATTTACTTTATTTTTGCAGTGTAATAAACTTTTTCCATAGCATGGTTTTATGGTAGAACCAGTAAGAAAATGATAAAAAATATGTTTAATAGTGTAATCAGTTCTAGAACAAACAGCTCTAGAACAAAGTAAATTCAGACAACTCTTCATGTTTTACGCTACTTCATACCAGTATGTTTATATTCCTTAGTAAAGGTAAAAGTAAAAGTAAAAGTAAAGGTAAAGGTTTTCCCCTAACATTAAGTCTAGTTGTGTCCGACTCTGGTAGGTGGTGTTCATCTCCATTTCTAAGTTGAAGAGCTGGCGTTGTCTGTAGACGCCTCCATGGCTTTAAAGATGGGCTCAAAGCCAACCTTAAAAACTCTGCCATAGACACTGAGGACTGGGAAGCCCTGGCCCTTGAGTGCTCCAGCTGGAGGTCAGCTGTGACCAGCAGTGCTGTAGAATTTGAAGAGGCACGAATGGAGGGCAAAAGAGAGAAACATGCCAAGAGGAAGGTGCATCAAGCCATCCCCGACCGAGACCACCTTCCACCTGGAAACCAATGCCCTCACTGTGGGAGAAGATGCAGATCAAGAATAGGCTCCACAGTCACCTACAGACCCACCAGTACACTGACCTTGGAAGACCATCCTACTCGGACAACGAGGGATTGCCTAAGAGAGAAGAGAGAGAACTGCATAGAGCACCGTTACCTTCCCACAGAAGCGGTACCTACTGATCTACTCACATTTGCATGTTTTTGAACTGCTAGGTTGGCAGAAGATGGAGCTAACAGTGGGAGCTCATCTCACTCTCTAGAGTCAAAACACCAACCTTTCGGTCAGCAAGTTCAGCAGCTCAGCAGTTTAACCTGGTGAGCCACTGGGGACCCACTTATATTCTTTAAAACTTAATTAATTATTGGTTGTGGGAGGATGCAGTGGGGAAGATTAGTACATTTAAAATTATATTAATAATATTGAACTATCAGTATGTGTGTGTGTGTATACACACACTAGCCGTCCCCTGCCACACGTTGCTGTGGCCAAATCTGGTGATCTGGAAAATAAAGTAATGAGAAAGTGTTTGTTTCTAATATATATAATTTCTTTATGCTTGTGGGTAAACAGTATTTCTTGCTGTTTCTTTGTCAGTGTTGATGTGGAGATTGTCTGGTTTGCCTACTTAGGAACATGCAACATATCATTGTCCTTCTTTAGGGGTCCGTTTCAAATCTATGATACTATAACTCTGTGTGTGTGTGTGTGTGTGAATCATTTATTTATTTATTTATTTATTTACCTTACTTATATACCGCTGTTCTCAGCCCGAAGGCGACTCACAGCGGTTCACAACAAATACGAACAGCAAAAATTCAGTGCTACAGTATAAAAACAGTTAACAACCTAACACATTACACAATTAATAAACAGTTACTACAATACCCATTCACTGTCGTCTCGTCATCAAAAACATGTTCCAGATTCGTCATCCATTGTTCCATTCCAGTGTTCATTAACCAATCATTGCACTAATTATTCGAACGCCTGCTCAAACAGCCAGGTCTTCACTTTTTGCGGAATACCATTAGAGATGGTGCTAGTCTAATGTCCGTGGGAAGGGCGTTCCACAGCCGAGGAGCCACCACTGAGAAGGCCCTATCTCTCGTCCCCGCCAGCTGTGCTTGAGAAGCAGGCGGGATCGAGAGCAGGGTCTCCCCGGAAGATCTCAAAGTCCTGGTGGGTTCATAGGCAGAGATGCGGTCGGATAGGTAGCTTGGGCCGATTTAGGGCAGGGGTCCTCAAACTTTTTAAACAGAGGGCCAGGTCACAGTCCCTCAAACTGTTGGAGGGCCGGATTATAATTTGAAAAAAAAAAAAAACATTAATGAATTCCTATGCACACATCTTATTTGTAGTGCAAAAAAACCCACTTTAAAACAATACAGTAATTAAAATGAAGAACAATTTTAACAAATATAAACTTATTAGTATTTCAATGCGAAGTGTGGACCTGCCTTTGGCAGATGAGATAGGATTGTTGTTATTGTTGTGTGCTTTCAAGTCATTCCAGACTTAGCTTGACCCTCAGTGAGGGCCGGGTAAATGACCTTGGAGGGCCGTATCCGGTCCCCGGGCCTTAGTTTGAGGACCCCAATTTAGGGCTTTAAACGCCAACGCCAGCACTTTGAATTGAGCCCGGTAGCAGATTGGTAGCCAGTGGAGTTGGCGAAACAGGGGGGTTGTATGCTCCCTGCGCTCCGCTCCTGTTATATCTATCTATCTATATCTATGGTTGGATGGCTCTTTGTGAGGAGGGCTCCGATTACATTTTCTTGCCCTGATGAAGAGAGTTGAACTGGATGGCCTTAAGTATTTTCTGTTGGTCATGGGGGTTCTGTGTGGGAAGTTTGCCCCAATTCTGTGTTTGTGGGGTTCAGAATGCTCTTTGATTGTAGGTGAACTATAAATCCCAGTAACTACCACTCCCAAATGTCAAGGTCTATTTCCCCCAAACTCCATCTGTGTTCATATTTGGGCATATGGAATATTTGTGCCAAGTTTGGTCCAGATCCATCATTGTTTGAGTCCACAGTGCTCTCTGGATGTAGGTGAACTACAACTCCCAAACTCAAGGTCAATGCCCACCAAAACCTTCTAGTGTTTTCTGTTGGTCTTGGGAGTCCTGTATTTGCATTCAAATCACCCCTGACAAATGGCCATCCAGCCTCTGTTTAAAAGCTTCCAAAGAAGGAGCCTCCACCACACTCTGGGGCAGAGAGTTCCACTGCTGAACGGCTCTCACAGTCAGAAAGTTCTTCCTCATGTTCAGATGGAATCTCCTCTCTTGTAGTTTGAAGCCATTGTTCCGTGTCCTAGTCTCCAAGGAAGCAGAAAACAAGCTTGCTCCCTCCTCCCTGTGGCTTCCTCTCACATATTTATACATGGCTATCATATCTCCTCTCAGCCTTCTCTTCTTCAGGCTAAACATGCCCAGCTCTTTACGCCGCTCCTCATAGGGCTTGTTCTCCAGACCCTTGATCATTTTAGTCGCCCTCCTCTGGACACATTCCAGCTTGTCAATCTCTCTTGAATTGTGGTGCCCAGAATTGGACACAATATTCCAGGTGTGGTCTAACCAAAGCAGAATAGAGCATGGGAGCATGACTTCCCTGGAACTAGACACTAGGCTCCTATTGATGCAGGCCAAAATCCCACTGGCTTTTTTTGCCGCCACATCACATTGTTGGCTCATGTTTAACTTGTTGTCCACGAGGACTCCAAGATCTTTTTCACACGTACTGCTGGTGAACCAGGCATTGTCCCTCATTCTTTATCTTTGCATTTCAAATTCTTGATAACGCAGAAAAGACAGTTCTAATTTGGGAAAAAAATATATTTTCTCCCCAAAAAGGAAGTAAACCCCCCAAACTGGAATTCCAAACGTCAAGCTGGAAGTACTTCTTGCAACTTCCTGGAAACTATCCCCAGTGAGGTCGGGCAGGAAGGCAGGAAAATGGCGCCCGCTTGACTAAAAGCAAGGAGGAAACAGCGCTGGATCCGGAAGTGAGCGCGCAAGAAGCTGTTTGTGATTGGCGCTCAGGGATCCACGTCACAAAGTAGCCTTGCCGGAAGTCTCCAGGGGCGCGGAAGTACGTCAAAAGCTCCGGGTAAAGAGTTAAGCCATTGGGGTTGAGGGCGCGCTGCTCTTGCTGTGGTTGCCGCCATGTTGGGGCCGCAGTGAAGGGCCTGGCGCGTGACCGACCCAGGAGGGATGGCGCTGAGGACGTCTCTGGCCGCGGAGGGGGACACCAGGCCCGGCGCCGCCTCGCCGCGGTGAGTCGCAAAGCAAGCTTCGCCTTCTCAAGGAGCGCGGCCTCTGGAGGATCCCAGCCGCGGTCGCCCCACTGCGCCCCCTAGCGCCCGCCTCGCTCCCAGCCTCTCTCGCGCGCCCCCAGTGGCCGCCGCGGGATTGCAGAGGAATTCATTGCATGGGTTGCATGATTTGGGGGGGGGGCGCATCTGAGTCTCTTAAGGCAGGCATGGGCAAGCTCCAGGTGTTTTGGACTCCAACTCCCACAATTCCTAACAACCTCAGCCCCCTTCCTCTTCCCCCACAACCGCTTGGCTGAATTAGAGACTGGTTGTGTTTATTGATTTTTAACCAGTGGGATTGTATGATGTTATGTTATTTGTTATTGTTTACTTGTTACATTTTGTGTGTTTGCACCTTTGAGTGCTTTGTGAGCCGCCCCAAGTCCCTTTGGGATATGGCAGTGGGGTATAAATAAAGTTTTATTATTGTTATGTTCTTTACTCCAGTTTTTATGCCTCCTTCCTCAGAGTCGGTTACTTTCAGATATATATGATGTGTTCGGAATATAAGTTAAACAGGGTGATAAAAGGCAGTCTTGCTCAACCTCTTGCCAATTGGAAACTATTCTGTTTTTCCATTTTTGATGTAATGGTAGTCTCTTATCCAGAATATGAGTTGTACATTACGATAATCAAGGGTGAGGCAGCATAACTTCCTTTTTTCAAAACTTAATAAAACCCATTGTATGAATCAGAGTTTTTTTAATGTATTGTCGAAGGCTTTCATGGCCAGAATCACTGGGTTGTTGTAGGTTTTTTCGGGCTATATGGCCATGGTCTAGAGGCATTCTAGAATGCCTCTAGACCATGGCCAATAGCCCGAAAAAACCTAAAACAACCCAGAGTTTTTTTAAAAAAAAAATTATAATGTAGGCGCATACCTAAAGTTTTGTTTTACGTAGTTTTGAAGATCAAATTAGGTAGGTGACGTCCCCCATTCTCCATACACTGAGTAAACCGATTTCTGGCGTTTGTCATGACTCTTGCCAGCATAGCAGGCGTTATGTTGGCAATTTCTTCCTGGATGTTGGTCTTCAAATCTTGTAGGGTCCTTGGACGGTTCACATAAACACGAGATTTCAAAAAACCCCATAGAAAAAAATCACAAGGGGCCAAATCTGGAGAGCGGGCCAGCCACTCCAAATCCGCTCAAAAAGTAGGCCTCAACGGCAAAAGCACGCTCCTCACTGTTCCAATGCATGATGGTGACTGAACTGTGTCAGGACAAAACTTTACACTCCTGCCTCCCGAACGAGACCACTAGCACTCCGCTACGTCTTCAACCGACTGAATGGCCCGCATTTTAAAAAAGGAAGTTATGCTGCCTCACCCTGTAGTTGCACCATCCATTCTTAAGAACCATCCCTGGCTTTTCGTTATCTGTAATGAAAGATATTGCTTTAATCTATTAAATGCATAATGATTTTATTATGAAATTTATTGGGGTGCTCCATTATTTAATATAGGTTTTCCATATGAACTGTGCCTCGGCATGTAGGCCAAAATAATCACGATACATGAGAAGTTGTTACTTATGTTACTTTTTTTTCTTTTAAGTATTATAGGTCATGTATATCATGTAGTTTCAGCAGCTGGATTGGATGGAAAGAACCTCCGGAAGTGTCATCCAGTTTCTAGACCTCTAAGAAACGATGTTCCCTTGCATCAGTCTTCGGTTGTAACTGATAATATGAACAGAAATGTTTCAAGACCTGGTCATAGTAATTTGCAGGATTTGTTTGCAAATACTGCTACATCTTCATTTGTTAAAGACACTGAGTGTAAGAAGGCTGCATCTGGAAAATTGATTCTACCAAAGCTGTTTGGTCAAGTGGAAATGATTGATGCCTCTGTTATAAAGGAGAATCCAACTACACCGATAATTTCTAGCATTGTAAAAGATAATCCAACCACTCCTACCATTTATAGCCTTCAGAGTAATTGCAGTTCTACTGATGTATCACCTTTCCCAAATGAACCTGCCATGATTGGCTCAGAAACAAGCAATACCAGCTACGTACTTGTGAATGCAAACAGATTTCCTCTCGCTCCAAAGTCTCAAGTACCTCCTTCTAAACATCCTCTTCAAATACCAGCTCATGAAGAAGTTAAATCTGTTCCAGCTTCTTTACTGCTACCTTCGATTCAACAGAATACTTTGGTTACATCAGTCTCAAATGCTTCTGAGGCTTGTGACATTAGGAAAGCACAAACAGTTATTTATGTGTCACCAGTAAATACAGTGAAATCAGCTGCTTTTAAGCCATTGCAAAATACATGCCCAAAACCTACAACGAAAGTACCAGAATCTTTACCATTGACAGTGCCACAGAGAACAGTCAGTAGTCATGCCCTACTTGGGGAAGCATTTGATAGTAAGGAAAAGGAAAAATCTCCTATAAAATGGGTTATCCAAGAAAGCCCTCCATCCACAGCATCTTCTTGCCTAGTTCCTGTAATTTCACCAGATAACATGGCACCACAAATTTTAAAGACATTGGCTAATGTAAAAACCACAGACTCCAACTCTGCCTGTATTGTGCCTGCCATTTCTAACAACCCGAATGTAAGTCAAGCAGAATTTACTTCTATGAAGGATGACACCATGGTGATGTTCAATAAAAAGATGTATTTACTTGCAAAAAAAGACTCCAGCATTACAATAGAAAATAAACACAGCAAGGTGATATTGCCTAGAGATGAGATACACCTTGGAAAACACCAGTCACATTTAACTGCTTCTCCTGCAACAAATACGATAACTAATCAAGTTGTCAATCTAGTGTTGGCAAAACACAGAGTTGTTGCACATAATCCAAAAGACCCCAAAATCTGTGAGATTATACAACTTCCTCTGCCATCAGAGCTGAACAAAAGTTTAAAAGTTGCATACACTTCCTCACCGTCACCACACAAAAATATGAAAATAAATAACACCAGTCAATATGAAGCAACACCTGTACTTGGAAACACACCACTTCAAATGACTGTAGATCAAAAACCGGTCCCAAGAGAAAATGCAAGCCAAAACCTCATACAGAACATTTTTTCTCAGAAACCATCTGCTCCTCCTTTATTGCCATCGACAATGCCTGGTGGTTTTAGAGAGGAAGAAGAAAAGGTAATTCTCTCACTAGAGTTAATTGTTCTAATGTGGGTTTAATATGAAGTTTCAGGTGTTTAAAATCTGTATCTTGCCATTAAGTACACTACAAAAACACCTGCAAATCCCATGACTATATATGCATGCAGATGAACCCAATGCATGCAGATGATTAGCATTTTACAAGACCAGCTGTTGGAGCAGATGACAGTATATATATAAATTTAAAATCCTTGTGAAAGTGGATCCATTGCCTGCTGCCTTAAGTCTGCAATTAAAATTAAAACCCACAGAAAGCAAAGTACTGACTAGTTTCCTTTTCTTCAGCAAGAAGGCCCCATGTGGTTGACTGCTAAACAGAACAGGAAATGTTTTGTTAATATTCAGTGTCTGATGCAGAAACACAAATGCCACTCAAGCTACCATGTAGCTGAGGCGAATAACATATCTCCCCACAAAGTAAGTTTGATACTTGGTTCAGTGGGTCAGAGGTCTGCCTGGTAAGTTACAGACATTTGTTTGATACAGGGTTGTTTACTTGCTTACAGTTCCTTACAGCTTTTCTTGACATTTTTAAAGCAAATAGAGCTATTCATATTGGTTTCATGCTAGTGTTGTGTACTTGTGCTTACTTAGACTATTGGTTTTGATAGTGAGGTATAGGTAACTTAAATAAAATGACAAATTCTAATTGCAGTGAAAGTATTTGCAGAAATCTATTCCTTTCCCCCAAAAGTAAAGTGAATTACAGTAAAATGCTTTACAATTAATTGGCATTAACTATACCTTTATACAGCTAACTTAATTCCATTTTAAAATATTGTAGATATTTACTTCCCATTATTAAAATGAGAGTAATAAATTATTCCACCTAAACTGACTTGGTTATTTTGAAGCAATTCAAACTAATACTGAAATATCTCACAGTACTGTTTCTATTTTCAAGTTGGGAGATAGAATGTTTACAGTTCTTAAATGTAAAAATTCTGCAGAGCAAAATAATATTTAATTTTTGTAAACAGAATATTAATTATTGGAATGTTTTGTAAGATAATATGACACATGTTTACGATTTCAGGTTGAGATTACACCGGAAATTCAGATCAAACACAGGAAAGTACAAGACAGACAACACTATCTTCAACTGAGGAAGAAAAATAGTCTTTTTAAAGAGGAAAGGGTCTATCTAAGGAGAATTCCTGAATCAGTTACTTCTGCGGGGCCAGAAACAACAGTGAGTTGTAGCACTGTACAAACAAGTGATTCCAGTGATTTTTCACAGAAAACATCTATTAAATCTCAACTGCAAGAAGAAGAAAAGGTACATGGGATATTTGCATATATTACATTTCTGTTAGACAGTTGTTTGAATTGTGTTGGCATTCATTTGTATTGTTACATGAGGTCCTTCAAAATTACTGCCCAACTTGCACTAACAACATCCAAGGCTTGGGGATATTCTAACTCCTGATTGTACAGACCAACATCTGTGAAGACAGTTTGATTTAAAAATACACCATGGCGTTCTGCAGGTTAACCCTAGGTCTTTTTAACCTGTTGCCCTCCAGGCGTTTTGATCTTCAGCTCCAGAATTCCTGACTGTTGAACAAGCTGGTTAGGGCTTCTGGGAGTTGGAGCCCCAAAAGCCTGGAAAGGGCTGCAGATCTTGCAGGTCGTGTCTAAGTTGACTAAGTTTTCTGTGGACTAGAAAAATAAGTGGGTAAGGTCGCTGAAGGCAGAGAGTGAAGAGAAAGAATATGCTAACATACAAACAGGAATTTGGAACTATTTCTTTATACGGTATTACAAATTGCTAAATGCATGTTAGCAAAGTCAGCCTTTTTGTGAACAGGAATATAGCTAAGGGTAGGCTTGAATCCATCCTAACAGTATGTGAATGACACATCCAGGGAATAAGGGGTTTAGTACAAAGCATAAATGTTGATTTCTTCAACAGTCCAGAGGAGCAATCCACTCCCTCACATGTGACTTCATCTATATAAATAAAAATATAATGTTCATTTGTGGGATTAACATAACTCAAAAACCACTGGGCGAATTGACATCAAATTTGGAGACAATACACATATCAGGCCAACAAGTGACCATCACTCATAAAACACTGAAAAACGCAGCAGAAGAGACTTAAAAGCAAAAAGAAAATAACAACACATGCACAAAACCACATATATACATAAATATCTACACACACATATACGCATGTATACATACACAAAACACATATACACTGACTGGGCTACAGCAATGCGTGGCAGGGGACAGCTAATAATAAATATAATGATAAAGAAATATGGTATAGTACATAGGACCACATATCTCAGGTATCTTAAGAAGGCTTTATCATGAAACTGGTGCAAATGTTAGAATGAGTAATCAATGTGTTAAACATCAAACAATCTTCTATTGGTCACTCTCTCTAAATTAAAAAAATTACTGACTCAGCTAAAATTCAAGCTGATTAAGGGTGACTTAGATTGCTAGTGCATATTACATAGTTGCTCTTGCTTAAGCAGGAGCAGTTAAACAACCCACAGACATTTTTGTGAGTTTATTGTGGTGTGTGAGGATATCGGGAGTCAGCTATGTGGCTTGTCTTTTCCCAGATGTGCCAAAGAAATAACGCATGTTTATTGTAGTTTTCCTGGCTTGTTGTGGAGGGAAAACCAGAGAGAGAGTTTGGGATGAGTTCACATGTCATGATAAAATAATCCATTTTGTTTTGTGGCACCTGTTCCAAGTGGGAGTGATCAGGTGCATGCAGCCGCTCATTGCTCAGACTTTCAACCAGGTTTCCTGTGGAATGGTGGAATCTATCTTCTGTTTTTCTTGGCACACAGAAAATTGAGGAACCAGAAGAAGAGCTGAATATGAAGAGGAAGATAAAAACAACTCCAATCTGTGAATATGCCAAGAGGAAAAAGACTGTGGCAAATCTGGGTGTGGACCAAAATGACTCGTTTTCAGCAGTGGATAATCCAAATAGTTGTCAACCACCAGAATCGCCGCAGTATAACTCTCAAGCTTCTCTACAGTTTTCCCAGGTGGACCTTGATGCACATCCTCAAAGTACTCAGATAATTGAAGAAATCAGCACGTTGAGCAGTGCTTCAGACTACTGCGAAAATGAACCCTTTCACAGTGAAGCTTCATTCAAAGAAGATATTTTTCCATTCAGCCCCCCAGACTTAGAGGACACAATAGGAGACGAAAAAATAAAAAGGCTTAAACGTCTGCTAAGGGAACAAGAGGCAGCATTAGAAGAAATTAGTAAAAATATGCAGCAGACATAACAAATGTAGTTCTTTATTTTGCTTTTGTGACCCACAGAAAATTAACTTTGATTTTTAAAGTTGGCACAGAAATAAAAAATAAATCATCAGGTAGCCTGATGTTCAGTTGGTATTGAATGCAAGCATGCATACATACATAGGCTGGCATTCTACACAGGCAACTTAAATGAATATATTCTAGTAAATAGTGTGTCCTTAAACCTATGCAAACATGCAGCAGCCACATAGAGAAAAGGGAGTCTTCTGCTGGCCGTCAGGGCATGGGCAGAGGGTGTTTCCATTGTCGAAGGCTTTCATGGCTGGAATCACTAGGTTCTTGTGGGTTTTTTCGGGCTATAGAGCCATGTTCTAGAGGCATTTCTCCTGATGTTTTGCCTGCATCTATGGCAAACATCCTCAGAGGTTGTGAGGTCTATTGGAAGTAGGAAAAAACCTCTGAGGATGCTTGCCATAGATGCAGGCGAAACGTCAGGAGAAATGCCTCTAGAACATGGCTCTATAGCCTGAAAAAAAACCCACAAGAACCTGGTGTTTCCATTCTTTTCTTGCCAGTCAGCAACATTGTGACCAGAAATGGTATTTGTCGCATTTCTTTGTTGCATTCTCACTGGCTGGAAGGAGAATGTCATGCTCAAATTGCCAGCAGAATGGGGCTCTGTCTCCATGTGCTTGCTGCCCAATAAAGTGGACCAAAATTACAGTTATGGCAGTAGGGCCAGAATTGTGAATATGGACCGAGGAGGGATATGCACCTCCAGGTTATGCATCTGTAAGTCTGATGCTGACTTTCAGTGCCAACAAATATATGTCTAAAACGTGATTTTGTAAAATATTGTTTGGAGAAAATACAATTCAATTGGTTTGATCTATTGTATCATTTAAAAAAGTAAGTACAGCTTTTTTGTTAATAATTACATGTAAGAGCCTTTTCCTTAGAAAATAAATGGAATCTTTTAACTATAGATTTTCTCAAAGGACTGTTTGCTTGATATGGAAAAAAATACGGCTGATCAGTAGTCTGGATAGGGTAATGTTTCAAAACCTGGGTCACAATCCTGTTGGGGAGTTATAAATGTGTAACTAGTACTTATGGAGCTGCACAATAACCCTGGTATAACCTCCCTGGATCCCCATTGTGACCAATGGATTCTCTTCCCCTATCACTCAGGAATCGGCTGACAGATGTTTTTGTCATGAGCAATCCCTATTGAGAGAGAGAGGAGTGGTATCCCTGTCACAATTCACTCACTCAGCTGATCCATCTGCCCGAAAGCATTGGGAACACCTGTGGACTGCTTCCTAAGTGACACTGCTGATTACAGTGGCTACTGCCCAGTAAATAGAAATTGGGGAATATGTAAGGATCAGGAGTACCAAACAGTTACAAGTGTGTTACTCTAGGTTAGGTCTTCAGTCCCCAACAGGATTCCAACCAATGCCAATTAATGGGGTAGGATACAACTTTTCAATATTATAATCAACTGATTCAGTTCTTGTGGGTTTTTTCGGGCTATATGGCCATGTTCTAGAGGCATTTCTCCTGACGTTTCGCCTGCATCTATGGCAAGCTTCCTCAGAGGTGAGGTCTGCTGGAGCTGGGAAAAAAGGGGTTTATATATCTGTGGAATGACCAGGGTGAGACAAAAGGCTTTTGTAAGTTGGGCTAGGTGTGAATCTTTCAACTGACCACCTTGATTAGCATACAATGGGCTGACTGTGCCTGGAGCAAACTCTTCTTGAAAGGGTGATTAGATGTCCCTGCCTGTTTTTCTCTGCTGTTTTTGCTGTTGCAATTTTAGAATTTTTTAATACTGGTAGCCAGATTTTGTTCATTTTCATGGTTTCTTCCTTTCTGTTGAAATTGTCCACATGTTTGTGGATTTCAATGGCTTCTCTGTGTAGTCTGACATGGTGGTTGTGAGAGTCACAACATGGCCATATAGAACATGGCCATATAGCCCGAAAAAACCCACAAGAACTGAGTGATTCCGGCCATGAAAGCCTTCGACAATACAATCAACTGATTGTTTCTACAAACCCACTGAAAAGGTAATTTCTGTTCAAGTCTATTTCTTAACCAACATGGTGTTTTATAGCTACAACAAAATGTCTCAGCCAACTTCCCTATTTTTTGCTTCAGGATCTCTTAATCTCCTTCCCCTCACCTCTGTCAGCTAAAGAGGTTGTTCAATGGCAACAGAGATTGGTCAGTTTTCAGCTTACTGTGCTTGAATCACCATCATCTGACTTCCCCCCCCCCAAATATTTTTGAACTTAGACAAACCTTACGGTTCCTCTAAGCCCCCTCCCCAGGTATTCAAAATGTCTGGAAGGCTCCAAGCATGACAGGAATGGCATATACATAAATGAAACTCACTTCAAGAGTCTTGAGATACATGATAAAATAACTTCTTTTTCATACAGCTGTCTTGTATATGGTGGTTCTTAGCAGTCTCAACTTGTATTATCTAAGGAACTGATAACACATTCCTGTATTCTGAGTTGTTAGTTCAATGGAAGTTGAGTGTTTTCGAAAGTTAAGCTTACAGTGCAGGAAGTTCTGCAACAATCCTATCGTTCTAGCCTAAATTGGAGTCAGTGCCAAAGATCTGGACACAGACTGAAAAAAAGCAGGTATATGTACTCAATATTCCTGAGGGAAGAAAAATAAATGTGCCTGTCTTTTGTGGAGTTTTCACAAAAACAAACTAATTTTAAATTATCCTGAAGAGGATAAGCCGTAAAGAACGTTTAGTGCAATGGTTCTCAACCTGTGGGTCCCCAAGTGTTTTAGCCTACAACTCCCACTAATCCCAGCCAGTTTACCAGCTGTTAGGATTTCTGGGAGTTAAAGGTCAAAACATCTGAGGACCCACAGGTTGAGAACTACTGCTTTAGTGTATTTAAAATATATTTGTTTTAATTTCTTCAATACACCTTTTGTTGCAAAAAAAAGTGATAAAAATAAAATTGTGAACATAATAAGAACTTTTAGCCAATTTCAGTTCAGTTGTCATTGGCAATAAAAAAAAACTAATGTATTTGTGTAAAACATAATTTTTGATTTACATCTTGGCTTTCTTCCAGAAAGCACAAGGAGCGTTCTTGATTAAAATACCTAATGAAAAGGCTGGAACATGTGTGACCATTTCTTTCTTTTCCCAGAAGTGCTAAATAATGTCTAGTTCCCTCTGTACCAGAATATGACAAACTGAAGAGGCATGAGAGAAAATAATCTGAAAATAAAAATTTATTTATCAGAGACAGAACATCAGAGATGCTTAATCTTAAAGAACGGGACATACATTAGGACAATCTGAAAACCTAGATAGTGAAAAGAAATTATTGAGTTGTCTGGAAGCTTGCATGTTTTTTAGGCCGTGAGAATAATTATTGCCCACTGAATTTACTGGAGAATCTAGAGATTCCTAGAGAGATTTTGTAGTTTTGCCAAGAGACAGCAATCAAAGTGACTTCCTTTTTTCATTTGTATCCAACTTGGAATCATTTTAAATGTGTTGATTTTTTTTTTTAGCTTTGGAAGATTTTTTTTAGATTGTTATGTAAGTTCTCAGACAATTTTTACTATATAAATTGTCTTATAATACAATTATGATAACATTATCAGACAATATGTCACAGACTCTGGGATACTAACAAAGACCTTAGTCTAGCAATTAAATTAATATATATGGGAACTAGTTTGAAAACGTGCTGCTTGCAGCTGTAAAATGGTGCACAACTTTCTCTACAATAGGATTTTGAAATATCTTGTAATCTAAATTTACGAGGCCTGCTTGAGGTCAAGCAAATACTAGCCCCAGACTCTTAACAGAATGGACTTTAAGAAAAGTATTACAATCCATTTCAATCAGGCTAAAAGCCAATCTTTCCCCCTGTGGAATCTGATATATTTTCACAAGCTCACCAACTTTTGGTATATTAGGGAAACAACATAGGATAAACATATAATTAATTTTGAACAGAAAATGTTTTATTTATTGGCATAACAATATCATCAGAAGATTACAGAAGTATATTAATATAAAATTTCAGTACAGTGGTTCAGATTACAGTGATTTAAGGGTTGCCTAAAAGATTGGAAACACTGGAGTATTATTTTTGCTTTCCACTTCTCCAAATAGCTAAGAATTAATCCAGACAAACCACAAGCTGCTTTTTGAAATCCCTTGCATTTCAAAAACTAGGCTGGAAGATGGAATAGGAAGGAATAATAAAACTAATATTCATTATGCTAAAATGCCTGAAGAATATGATAAGATTTCAAATTATAAGGTTCTAAGTATCTAATGTTGCCTTATTTTTATTATATGTTGAGCTGCATTTTGCATCAGAAGCAGGCATAGATGGGATCTTGTTGCTCTACTAGTAATGCAATGATAAGCTTAATTTCTGATGGTTAATGTTCCAATGCACATTACAGGCAGAAGAATATTTTAGGGCAATTTCTGGTAACAATTTTATAAGGTACATTAAAATATCCTTTACTTTTGTTGCAAATTCTTTAGTTATTTTTTTTTAAGAAGGCTGAGGGGGTTTACAATTATAGCGAAAACTGGGGGCAGGAAAGGGATTTCATTATATGTCAATAATAATTAGAGACCTGGTGGATATTTGAGTACATGTTGGACCTCTCTCCATGGTTATTCAACTTGCTACTGCCAAGCAGATAAATCTTCCCTGTTTAGGCACTTTCCTATGCACCCCACACATTTTATTGACTATGCCCAGACCTTCTTATCTACCTGAAGTTGTGAAGATTCTTTAACTTCTTTAACTGTATGGTACTTTTTGAGGGAGCCTTGCTTGTTTAAACTAAGAGGTACTCACTTTTAAAGTACTATGACTTTCCAATTTTTGTCAGGTTTGTTCCATCAGTGTAAAGGAAACAGCAATGTTCCTAGTTTGTGCATGTTCCATCCTCTAACTCTTCTCAATAACAAATCCTTTTTTTAGTCCAAAGTCCAAACAAAACCATTTAAAATTCAATCCTCTCTCCTAGTGTTTTGTGGCTCCAAAAATAATCAGGATATTTCAGACTTACCACAGCCACTAAGTACCAGTGTTTAGAACTTTGTATAATGTAATTGTGGTTGCTGCAAATATATTGCTTCCTTCCATACATAGGGAATGGTTCTTCCCCATTTACAGAAATCAGTGGAATTCTTAACAGAAACCACTAAGTGCTTGTGTGTTAATAACCTTGTAATATA